CTTTCCGGGTGTATGTAAATCGGATTTGGAGGGGCTACCTCTGCTTTCCCGCCTGGTACCCATTCACCGTTCACGTATTTCCATCTGAAATATGTCCAATGATGTTACATAAATTCAATTGCGTCAGTTCGACGTCATCGTTACCGTTAAAAATAACGTTCTAACGAGTTTAGAATCTTTTTTAACGAGCGTCGAACGTCCTTGCGCGCCGTACCGGGTGATAGATAGAAATTTACCTGTGCGGATCCACCTGGACGAATTCCAGAAGAAGGGTGTACATAGCCTTCGGTTCCAGACCTCGGGCGACTACTTTGACAACCGGGAACATTCGTCTGAAAATAAAAATCGACAAAATAAGAATGAACGACTATCTTGATCTGAATCGAACTTTGATGGTACCAGCTACCAGAGGATAGTTCTTTCGGATGATAACGAAACTCGCGGCCCAGAAGGTACGGAAATTGTATAAACACTAATGAAAGTAACACCGAAGGCGGCGAACAGCAGAGAGAATCGAGACGGTGGTAATAAAATTTTACGATGCTCACGAAATCCCGCGTAAAACGTTCTCTCCCGGTTGAGATGGTACCTGCGGACAGTTTGCCTGCTGATGAAGAACGCGGTCGACAAACCGTAATCCTTTTTGATAATATAGCAAAAAGTAGTCGGTCGGGATACAATCTAGCGAATGTCTTTTGATCCGCCGCGCCGGTACGCGCTGACAACTTTGCTCTATTCGTTTTTCATTACATTTTTCTCTTTTTTTGTTTCCATTATTACTTAACTACTAACCAGGATTCATTTCAATGTAATATTCTGTAGCGACTACGTTCCTCGTTCGAATCGATACAGAGAAGTGATTGAAAAAAAAAAGTGATCGATCGGATTGATGTTATAACATTGACGTGAAATAATCGTGGAAAGATTACTATTTACTTTTTTCGTGGCAAACGGAATATTCATTCGGGTGAATCATCTAAATTCTCGTAACGTTTTGCAACAATCTTCTTTTTTTTTTCCATTCCGCACACTCGTCTTTTTTTTCCTTCTCCTCTGCACGATGTATATGAACTATTATTTTTACCTTCTGCCTTGTTCGCACCCACGCTCTAATTAATACATTTTTACGCGCGACGGAGAGCCATCTTTACTTTGGATCTTTCTATGAGACGATCCTTCGACTTGCTACGTTACTATTTTAAACGTGCAAATGATTCAGCCGTTTATCGTTCGCGTTTAATAGATTAATGATTTCCTCTTAGACGATAATTACTCGACGACTTGCTTGTACAGAGATTCTTTGAAATAAATTTCAAAAGAGTCGATAATATTGATTCTCACCTTCCGTTTTTTGTAACAATCATTTCATTGGTGAGACACTGAAACTTGGTCCATAGATCTCTATCCTCGAGCGACAACGAGAGAGGTAATCCTTGATTCCCGCTGACCGTCATAGCACCAGGGAGACTCTGTCCAGATACCACCATCCTGTCCTCGTTTTGTTCCTCGCGATCCTCTTCAGGAGTTCCACGATTCTGTCTGCCGAGTCTGCTACGATCTCTCTCGCGATCCTCGTGCACTTCTCTCTCGCGTTCTCTTTCGCAACAGGATGATCGCGCTGGAGAACCAGGGGTAGCTGGTGCCGGCTGCATTTTCCTTCTCCACCGAATCTCCACTTGATCCTTCCCTCCGAGTTACGAGACTCGGTAGAGATAACAGCAGTTCCTTTATATATCTTCCTTCAATCGATAATTCGTTCGATCTCGTTCACCAATGATTCTCGGAAGATAATGAAAACAACGGTCGCGGGTGTTCTTTGTTCGTACTCCTCCGGATTGATTCCCTCATTCGAGCAACGTGTTACCGACGGAATCGTATGGTAGCTGAAGAAATAGGAAGCAACAGGGATTACTTCCGCTTGATACCGTTCGATCGAGAATTACCGATTCTCAAGGATGAAGAAAAATACGGTGGCGGAAAGGGAGACGACGAAGCGATCGAAAAAAGATAGGAGTATTCCTTTTCCGAAGACTATGCGAGTCCCTATGAGTCGCGTGGTCGTGCTCGTAACACTTGGGCGCGATATTTCACACTAGTCGGCGAACGACGAGGCCGAAGACTGACTGGCTGACATATCTTCGTCTCTGTTCGACGTCTTTATTCTCCTCTGTTCCACCAGGATGGTATCCTCGGTGAACCGTCCAATCGATGCCTGTACACGGTTCTCCTGTTCCTTGCACGCTAATTAAACTGTAAATTAGGAAAAGTCCGGGGGCAGCATGGCGGCCGGCAGGCCTCGGAAACGGCACTCCACTATTGGCCGGCGATCTCCGTTCTCGGCCAAAGCGATCCCACTGGCGGTTAGATTGTTTTTTCGTCGACAGAGGACAACGGTCGCCGCCTTTGCGCCGCTTCTTCGACCAATCCATGCACGGTACCATTTTACGATTCCACGTCGGTTGGTCGATCCTTTCGAAAGCACGAGGTCCGTCAGTCCGCCCACGCGACAGTCGCGAGTCGTCTTCGCTTGGTACGCGCGCTTCTATCTCCACGAGCGTCACCGTTCGCCCTTTTCTTTTTTTTCCTCTCTTTCTTCATCGCGGCTTTTAACATTTGTTTGCTCGTTCGTACGATCATTGGACGATCATCGCCGCTAGAACGACAGTTTGTAACTTTTTTTCACGGAAGTGCGGCCGGTAGGAAGAAAGTCGTTTATATGAATATAAAGATCGCTTCGCACGAGGTTCGTTCGATCGAGATTTCTTTACCAAGTTCGCGAGTGTACTCTGATGTTGTGCGCTTCGGAAACTCAAAGGGATGCACGGAGAAGGTGTGCAGTGGCTGGTAATTACTTTTTCATGCTGATCAAAATAAGAGGATCGTGTACCAAAGTGACTGTGTTAGCAACAATGTTTCTATATCATTCTCATCAACGATCCTCTGATTATCATTGAAGTTAAACACCCTTGGCACTTCACCCTCTACGCGCAGCAATGTTTCTAAGGTTTCGAGCATCGGATAAACTATGGTCGCGGACGGAACAGTTAACCGTTCGATGAACAGACAGACAGGCAGACTGACCATTTCGAGTCAAATGACAAAAATCAACAGCAAGTTACGTCCGACTGGCCGATGTATCGCGAGTAGATATTTGAGCAGGACCGTTTCTTGTTTGCCATCGCGCGCGGTTTTGGCTGGTAAAGTAACCATTCAGCCCTGACAGATATTTGTGCTAGTAATTTTGTTGAGGGAAAAGTCGCGATATCGCCGATGCTCAGCCACGGACGTGTAACGGGCTCTGATCTTTGTTAAACGAACCTGTACAACATCGATGCCGATACATCATTTGTTCGACAGTTTTATGTGCAGTTCAGTTATTAGCGAAATCTTAACATGTATTACATATGGAACCGTTCGCAGGATCCTCCAAGTTCAAAATTAATAACTGAACTGAACATTAATGAAAATTAATAGAAACTCAATTAATAGTCTTAATAATCTAAATGGAGCTTGAAGGGTATTCCAAGATGTTCTTCCTCCTCCTTTTCTTCTTCTTCTCCTTCTTCTGAAGTTATACCAATTCAATTTCTTCAAAAAAGCGACTTTCAACGTTTCCTAGAATATCATATGACGTGGTTAGACATTACTCAAGATTAATTAGACATTACTTCAAGATTAATAACTGAACTGAACGCAATGAAAATTAATAGAAACTCAATTAATAGTCTTAATAATCTAAATGGAGCTTGAAGGGTACTCCAAGATGTTCTTCCTCCTTTTCTTCTTCTTCTCCTTCTTCTTCTGAAGTTATATCAATTCAAGTTCTTCAAAAAAGCGACTTTCAACGTTTCCTAGAATATCATATGACGTGGTTAGACATTACTCAAGATTAATTAGACATTACTTCAAGATTAATAACTGAACTGAACGCAATGAAAATTAATAGAAACTCAATTAATAGTCTTAATAATCTAAATGGAGCTTGAAGGGTACTCCAAGATGTTCTTCCTCCTTTTCTTCTTCTTCTCCTTCTTCTTCTGAAGTTATATCAATTCAAGTTCTTCAAAAAAGCGACTTTCAACGTTTCCTAGAATATCATATGACGTGGTTAGACATTACTCAAGATTAATTAGACATTACTTCAAGATTAATAACTGAACTGAACGCAATGAAAATTAATAGAAACTCAATTAATAGTCTTAATAATCTAAATGGAGCTTGAAGGGTATTCCAAGATGTTCTTCCTCCTTTTCTTCTTCTGAAGTTATATCAATTCAAGTTCTTCAAAAAAGCGACTTTCAACGTTTCCTAAAATATCATATGACGTGGTTAGACATTACTAATTCCTATTTATAATATTTTTATGGATTTATTGGGACCGGCTAATTAAACAGAGAAATAGTGATCGACAGGTTGCATGGGGTACGCTTGCGATTCTACGTCCCGGACGCATCAACGGTGGCGAGGGCAATAAAAAGAACCTTTACCTCGAGAAAAAAAAAAAAAAAGAAACCAATGCAACGTTCACCGGTTACACGACTCGTTTACGATACGGATATCCCATCCGTCACTACCTGCCAGTTAGGTAGCTCACCTGACGGATTGGGAGGTCCACGACGATGTTCCTTTATCGCGTTTGAAGAACGCCGCCTTCTGCTGGCTCATCTGTAATAAACATCCAGAATTACAATCGCTGTGATAAACCATCACCGTCGGACGAACCTTTGTTCCTTTATTTACAAATTGCATTCTACCCGCTGCATTCTTACACAGAAACGGAAGCGATTAATTCCATTTATTAACAGTCGGCATACCTCGACACGGTTCGCCTTGTATTTTCAAATATTTCCTCTTCTTTTCTTCTCTCTTTTTGTAGTGAACAAATTAACCCTTTAACTTTATCAAACGCGTTACAAATTAAAAACAAAATGTAACGTTAATTGTACGTTAACATACTTTCATTTGAACATTATATTTTTGAACTGTACCGAAATCATGTACAAAACGTGTTGGAAAAAATTCTTACGACAACGAGATCCATCGAAGGATCAAGAAATTAATTATAATTATTCGAGTAACTTATTCGCTATATTCCTACGTAGTTTTAAAGTATATTAAACAATCTTCTTGCAATTTCATTTATCAAACATCTCCCTCCTGCTTCGACGACTTTGGGGAATCATCCTGTTCGACTTTCACAGTCGTCGGCTTGCAAGCTTCTTTATCAATATTATCGTACATGGTACCAGGGATATTGCTTCGATTGCTACTGCCAGGTGTACCGATCAATATGTATTTTTCATCGTTTCGTTCGTTTGCGAACGATTCGTAATTATCCCTGGAACGCACCACTTCCGACGGATGGGTCATCAAGTTCTTCTGACAGAACCATTCTTTCTCCCTTGCGTGATGGGAACAGTCCAAAAAAGTCGTGCAATTCTAAGAATTTATATTAATTTATAATTTTTATGCTTTTAATGCAGAGGATGATTATACCAAGGAAGAAGAGGAATCTCTTATCTCTTACCACAACGTTGTCAGAAATTCTGGATACTCCGCATCTGGATTGAGCAGTGAACCAGCAGCAATCGTCGGGAATTATTCTTGACAAAATCTCACCGTTTTCTGCAATCCTGTGAATGGCAGTCGAGGCTCCAAGGATTCCGCAGGATCTCGGTGAGAAAGGAAAGATAACTGGTGTGGAGAGGTAAGCCTTCGGGTGTAACTGAAGAAAATAAGACAAAACTTCATTGTATCTCCTTTGTTTTCTCTTCCTCTCTTTACTGTCGCATAGACATCCGTTTATTCTTCTTTAAACATTACTCTTTTCTTTTTTTTTTTTTTTTTTTTTCTTTAATTTCCTCTCATGGAGTGTCGTTAAAGGGTTACGATCCATCAAACCGGTAACGTGTACAATACAAAGTGACCTCAAACGATCAATATACATTGTCAATATTATTGAACGTCTGAAGGAACAGATTGACTTACTGTCGTTGTTTAAAATATTGATGATGTGGTCTGATGAAAAATAAAATATTTGTAGTATTCACAAAATATTGACAATAAATATAATAATGACTGTACAAAGTTTCCTTTGATCAGACACAAAGTACTGTCAATAAATATTCAACGTACTAGGCTAATGCAGTTTGTTAATAAATATTGACAGCATTGACAATATGTACCGATCGTATGAGGGTTCCTTTGAACATGAATTTAAGCTCAATGATACAGTGGAACCTGAATGAACAGCAGAAAATTAATTACTGGTGGACAGTATAATTAAATAACTGAGAAAACAAAGTAACACCAACAGGTTTCAAATGGACGTATATAATACAAGCACGCTGTAATTAGAGATTAAGTGAGGTTCTACTGTACCCATATTTCAATGTACACGACGTATGAATGAAAACATGTTTGATCTTTAACTTCTGCCTGCGTTAACTCTATCAATTTTCCTTCCTTGTCTAATTTATTAATTAAACAGTTCAGTTATAAATGTAAAACCGTGTGCAATTTAGGTTTCTCAAAGAGAAGAAGTTTTGAGTTCTCTCAATATCAAAGGTGATGGGACGTTTACCCTTAGCCAATGAAATCCTATATTGCACTCGAGTTTTAGAGAATAAGATATAAATACAATGAATGTTTGAAAATTGATAGAGTTAAAGCTGTCGCGAAATAGACATTTGATGGAATTCGATAGAATAACACGAGCCTTTGTTAAGGACTTTTCTCACCAACATTGGCACTTGTAGGATTAAAAGATGTACAATGGTTCGTAATCGTTTCTCGTTTCTATACACTTCGGCTTTCTAAACGCGTTTACTAACGATTAGAGTGAATAGATTGCTAATAATTAGACAGAAAGTCGTTACGAGTTATCAATATGTTATAAGTTTCCTGTCATTCGACACTGTTCCTTACTTCATCTTTTTTTTCCCCATTATCGTTTCTGATTCGCACACTTTTACAACTATATCTCTACACTTAATATCGTTGCCGATAATGAAACGTAGATTACGGTTTACGCTTAATCGTTAGAGACGTGGTTAATTTCTATGTTACAATCCGTATTCGCCAACGCGACAGATCAATAAAGTAACAAAATTATTAAAATTTCAAGTAATTAACGGATCGCTAAAATCTCCTTATAGGATTCGAGTTTTACGAGACGAAACTGGCATGATTATAATTCAAGAGAATGTCTTGTACGTTGCTTTAATTTTTGGATCATCCAGGAAACATTTTAACAAATGGTACAATTAATTATTCAAACTTTCAATGAAATTTCAGTAGAACCTACTGAATCTGGATTTCTTCAACTATTCCCTTTCCAATGGTTTTCAATTATCTAACAAATTAAATCTATTTGTGCTCTTATACAGAATTCAAAAATTAAAGCAACGAATCGTTCTAAAATTTCTTATCAAGTTTCTATCACAACTCGTCATTCGTGACGTCGCGACGATATCCAGCATTTTCACGCTTGTTAAATACTATAACTACATTGTTTAATGTTAAAACAAATCACAGCATTTACATCATTTCATACTTCCCGGACGTTCGTTCATCCAAGAGAAAAAAAAAAAAAAAAAACGGTCGAACTGCTCCTAATGTATCCGTTATAAACTTTTATCTCCTCTCTACTTGAACAACGATCTTCAACGATTCAAGTTGACCGTCTGCTCGATGAAACTTACCTTTTTATTCCTATTAAAACACGCGACGTTCCTCGTCAGAGGAACATTTTATGTTTTAACATGAATCGTTTCTTGCTCGAGCAAACAGTACGCGATTGAGTTCTTTCCATACCCGATAATAATACGTGGGACGTAAGCGCGACGGTGAACGCGAAATAAAAGCTTTTCTTTCACAATTTGGTCCCATTATAGGTACAGGGTAGCTGGCACGAATTATGTCAAGTCGATGTACCGATAGATCGCTCGATAAGTCATAGGTGCCTGCACGGGATTCAGAACTCGATGAAAGAGAATAAAAAAAGAAAATAGTATCTAACACTTTACGCTATCGTTAATTAAAATTTAGAGAACAATTCTTGAAATACCTAAGAATTATCCTATGTAATTTTAATAAAACCTATTAAATGGAATCCCTAAATTATCACACAATTTAATATTCTACCATCGTCCCGTTAATCGAACGATTCTAAAAAACATTTGTCACTATTTTAAAAGGTCCCAAAGTTTCTGTAAATATATTATTAAATATACGTTAAAATGGGTATATAAAAAATCCAAATTCTTCCTTTGAGATTCCATTAAAGCTACGAATCTTACTGTCTACGGTCTTAATTGATAAATCCTTTTTTTTTTCCTCTTGATTTTTTTCTAACCGATTCTCTCTTTTTTTCCCCCCCATCAATTTACGATATTTTGAAAAGATTCTCAATCTCTTTGCACGTTTCAAAGGTAAACGAGTTCTGAATGCGAAATAACAAAAACCATGCATTCCCTTTAACAAACATAGAAGAGCAAAAGTGTTCGTCGGTTTCTCGACTTTCTACGTTCGCTGTTGTTATGTCCACTTTTATTTATACGTTTCTCCGCGCGGCAATACGTGTCGCCTAAATATTCTACTAAATAACTTATGTACCTCTTCGTCGCGCGTTTCCTTTCATTATACATTATAAATAATTACAATATATATACAGGGTGGGCTATGCAATTATTTCAGATGATAACTCCGTTCTTAACGCATTTATGAAAAAGTGCCAAAGGAGAAAGATAAATGGTTCTGAAACAATGCACGTGCAATTAATAATTACATTGTTTTTTTAAATGGAAATGCATATTTTTTTTACACAGATCAATTCTCCTATTAATTCTGCATAAGGAGTTATCACCTGAAACAGTTGCGAAGCCCACTCTGTATGTATACTTCTTTAAATATATATTTAATATATTCATATAATTCGTCGCTGATACACCAGTTTCGTGTATCATCGACGATATTTAACAACTTGTTGGAAGATGTCGATATAGATACGTTTATCGACACATTTTGATTATACTTTTTGACAAAGTCCGAGCAACCCACAAATTATTTCAATATATTCTGTAAGAGAAAAAATATACCGACGGATGAGATCTTCATTTTCGTTCATTTGCAAATATTTACATAATAATTTTCTTTGAAATTATTTTAGTTAATTGATGTTTTTAATTTATGTAGATTGCTCGAATTAACGTTTGACGTACGAGACCCGCGAATATCGTGCTGTTTTTGATTTCATTTTGATTCAAGCAGAAATTTCGAAGACCTTTGATATTTCCACAGTCCTATTGAAGGCACAATCTCGGCAAAACATACGTGGTTTGCCGGGACGTTTCGTACGCCATTCGCAATCTCCGATCGTTCGAAATCCGTGAAATGATATTTGTACAAAAATTTCAGTTACTTCGTTTAGAAAATAAACGAATCAACGGAAAATTCGTTAACTATGATTACTCAGATATTCAACAAAGATGCTCTCGTCAAGTAGAAAATATTCTCGGATCGTTCGAAGTCGGAGGGAATAATTTAATCCTAGAGACAAGTGGACGAAATTCACGTCCTTATCGAATCATTAATCTCTTTCTCAGGTTATTCGTTTCTATAAAATAAAAATTCTATTAACGATCGTTACAGTCTTCGATAAGAAAAAAGTATACTCTAAAAGAGATTGTAATTATTAATCAGCAGCGAAGGCTGTAATCGTTTCTAAGAGTCCAAGCATCATTGTAACTTTATCAAAGTTCAGATACCGATAATTTATACAAGATACATTATCGGCACATATTCTGACCTTCGATAAAGTTAAGCACGATATTAATTCTTACTTTTAATACAACCTTCCCTGTTTAACAGTCTGAAACTTTAGTCCTGGAAAGGATTAACGATCCGTGTTTAAATTTCGCTACCTATGGCGCCTACGTGAGGGCTGTGCCAACGAGGGGTGCTCGGTTGTCCGCAGTACATGCCGATCGAGGTGGTGGCGACTAGCTCGTTGTTCGTATCGTCCAAGCTTGCCTCTTCGCTGTCCTCGGCGTCGGCTTCGAAAGTCCTCGCGGTCGTCGTTGCGGTTGCGGTTGCGCTCGTATCACGCGTCGCGCTGCTGACTGCGGCTCCGTTTACTTCTGACATACGATCTGTACTTACGCTGCTACTATCCGTGTCGGCCACTTCCACGTTTCCGCCGCTCTCGCCGACCATGTTCACGAAGAACTCCGATCGTGAAAACCTGCCGATCTCCGTCGATCCGAACGCCTGATGAAAACCTGGTAACGGTTTGCTAACAGTCTTCTTCTTCGGCTCGAATCTCTCGGCGGACCGACGAGATTCCCGTTCCTTTTCGCGGGTCGCGTTAGATTCCTGATCGCACAACAGCCGTTCAACATCGCGTCGATGCGAATTCAAAAATCAAACTGTCTTACCGTCGAGGCTGCTAGACTGTCCATAGACATTCCATTGTTGATGCCGTTCGGCTCCCACCTGGGTCCTTCGTCCTCGCGACGGATCCTCGACGTGGACGCGGAATCCATCATAGAATCGACCGACGATTCGAGCAATCTCGGCATCTGAAGAAACAATATATTCCTGGTTAAAGTTTCCCGTTCTTTCTGGCGATAAGAATCGACGAACGACAAGAGACCTGATGCTGAGGAGGCGAGTAGGACGCCCGTATGCTCTCTACATTAAGTTTATTAGTATTGTAATTTAACCGTGCCGTTTCCTCGGGAAATTCACAGTGTCTACCGGGTAGACGGTCCCGCAGCAACACGGTATGTCGTGGTCCACGGACTCCAATGTTTCTGGGCATAGGTGGACCATCTATAAAATCACAATTAATATCTCTAATGAGCCTGTATCTTCCAGATCTGGTTGAAATATCAATTAAAGAAACTCACGGGGTATGACACCGGTGTGACAGAATTGATTCCACGGTCCGTGTTCATGGGAGCTGATGCTCTGAACGTTCGGATGAATGATACCAGTCATTTGTGAAGGATGAGGCGTTCTCGGGTGTTGATGACCACCTCCTCCGTTCTAGAATTATAAAAAGAAAATATCAATGAATGTTTTTATTATTTTTAAGAAGAATATCTCTCACCTGATAGGGATGCCATTTTTGGCCGTCGGTAAATTCGGAATAGTCCCCGATATTTTCCTGACGACGCAGCTGTTCCCGTTCACGGTTCACGTCGCTGAAATCAACGGGGTATCCGTTGTTGGAGAACGCGGCGGCACCGCATTCCGCGGCCGAAGCGGTGGCCACACCGGCCGCAGCTTGATTTCTCATCGCGTCCTTGCATTTGTCGGGTGCACGCTGGTGCATCGCGCCCATAACTTGAAGTCTTTCGATCGGATCGCCAACGTTTCCATACCAATCGTTCATTCGCGGCGAGTGAATCGCTTTCGTTCGTGACGTCGACTGGAACCAGGGTTCCGCGACTCGATCCGACTCCACCGTCGAATTGATCGGCAAACCAGCTGACACGCATCCGAAACGGTGCTGATGATCCAAGAATGTCGTTGAGTTGACCGGTCCGGATATTACCCCAGCTCTCGCGATCGCGCTCTGCAAGATCGATCGTCTGGACAGCTCGCGATTCTGTTCGCGCATCGCCTTCCGCAGCCTCGCCTCTTTCGGGTTGTACACGTAATCTGCGGAACAGGTAAAAACGGTTGAAAGATTCTATTGGCTACGGGTAGATGGTCGCGTAGGGAGAATTTGATAAGAAATGTAAATGCACGGAATAAGAATCCGGGAACCTAATTGAATTCAACAGAGTCTGAAATTTGGATGTTCATAATATAAATCCATTAGAAATTGAAGAAATTTCTAAGGTACCTAAACGAATAAATATAAAATTACTGATTGCAGTTTGCACGCACGCGCGTTAGATCTTCCTTTATCCTCCTTGGTATATTATAAAGTTTCAACTGAATCATTATCTAGTAAATTTGGAATAAAATCATAAATTTATAATAGAACATCTGCTCGAAGAATTTCTAAGGCATTTACGATATCTACCTGTGGGATAGGCAGGTGGTATCGCCCCGTTGTAACGCGCGCTAGTTTCGATCGCGGTGGAGATCGGAGGCGGTTCGTATCCGGCGTACTCGGTGTTCGCGTTATCGTAGCAAAAGTAGTGTTGCTGTTGATAAAAGTGACCCCCTCCCGTGTAAGCCTCGACGTAGTTACAGCAGTCCATCTTTGCGAGGAAAGACGGAAAGGTTCCCTTATCGCGACGCAAAGTACGATTCGCTCGGTTTTTATCACGTTCGCGAGAAAATATCCTCTCGCTAAGCGAGTAAACTACTCGTCGAATCTTCGAGTGTCTTTTTATTTTTAAATGAAATTGGCCCCTTCTTCGATTCTCTTCCTTTCTTCTCTCTATTGTTTTATCGAACACGTCACAGAATTTAGTTTACGTGGGAAGACCACGTAAGAGGAGGAGGGTGTCGTATCGGGAGGCGTTCGATCGGCCTCCTGCATTCCGTCGGGAAGACCCAGTGTTAGTCCCGTCGTGCGCGGCGTCATCGTCATCCCCGCAGACGTTATCCTCGTCCTCTTCGTCATCGTTTACCCGTCCGTTGAATCGCCAGATACTCGAAGCAGCCTACTAACTACGGGTCCGTTGATCGCGTCTCGAGAATCGGACGACGAGTCGATACGAAAGTGGATACGGTTCGACGTGTCGGACGAGCCGCCGCGTCATGGTAACTGCACCGGGCGCAAGATCGATGCTCGAAGCTTTTTCTCTTCTTTCAACACCTGCCGCTCTCGTTTTTTTCTCTTCTAATCCGTTCGGCCGCCACGCATCGCGAAAACGTTCCTACGCTTGGGAATCGATACCAACTGTTTGCTTCTGTGTTCGTTGTTGATCGACTAAAGAAACCCTTTCTTCCTTCCTCTTCTTTTATTTATCATTTATAGTTCCATCTGTGATTTTAAATTAAAAGTATCCTCTGGTCTTCAAACACAATTACTCATTGTTTACTTTCCTGAATTTTTCACAAATGCAACATTCTGCAATTTAGTCCAGTTCATAAACCTCGTTCACTAAAACGCTTAATTTCCAATGTAAAGTAATATTAATTCCACTGATTGTTCATTGCGTTTATTCACCAGAATCGTTCACTCTGGAAGAAATATCGAATCACTGGGATGATGTTCGTATCGCATTCAATTTCCCTGGTCGTAGATGTATATCGTGATCGTCACCCTCTACTTGACACCCTGATCACGCTCCGCTCTCGGTCCGTCTCGACTCCGGCTATTTACTCGGGTGCCTCGTGCGCGCATCCAGCGACCTATTTACGCGAGCGGTCTCTCGCTCTCTGATACCGATGCCCGTCTGGAAGTGGCGCGCGTGGCCGCAAGCGGGAACGGCAGGCCGCGCACGGGAGACCCGCGTTCCTCCCTCGCGGTGCACTTGGGTCGCACTGATTTTGCCAAGCGGCAGCACCGTGCACGTCGACGAATTTACGTGCGTTTCGTCATCGACGAATCCGACGGGAACGGCTCGAGGGAGGAGGGTTGGTTCACCGAGTAGGGTGGGATTTCCCCACCCTGAATCGAGCACGAGGAAGCGAGAGTTCCGCTTCTCCGTCTCGCTGCGCCAAGTATAAAAGAACCCCTTTGTCGCCTATCGATTCCTCGTTGCTTCCTTCTTGATCCTCCAAAGAGGATCCCTCTTCGAATTGAACATGTTTTTGTTTGGGAGGGGGAGGCCGATCGTACCGCCGCGTTACTCTTCCTACCGTACTCTCATCGATTAGCCGCAGTTCGAACTCGGACACCTTTAAATGGATCGTTTCGGCTGCGATAATCCAGCGGGGTTCGTCAACTTGCGTCTCTTCGTTTCTGCTGAAAATTTCATTCTTTATTAATCGTCGAGCATTTCTAATTGATATGCATGTTTTAATGCGACAAACCTGTTGTTTACATTCAGAAGTTTCTATGATTGCACCAACTTTCTTCGGCTTTAAAGCCTGCAATTAGGAAATGAAATCATAAACCATGGTCGACATTGTTTAAAAATAGATGCTCGTCTGTTGGAATCGTTGAAAACTTCTCTTTGCATACACGCGTTCCATAGATAGAACTTATGTCAAGGGTATAAGTTAAAGGAATTTAAGAAACGTAATCGTCTACGGTTGTGTTGCATTAAAAGGGTTAAAATGTCTGATGCATCGTATAAAGCAGTGATCCGATTCTAAGCTACCACTCCGAGGAGTAGAATCCGCGTGACGTTCGCAGACGCGAAGCGCGTCGATGTGGCCGGCTTTTCCTCGAGGCTCGAGCATCGCGTTGATGCGATAGCGGATCGATGACCGACGATCGTTACAGAGAGCAGAGAAATAGAGGGAGTGACTCCTCCCCCGCGTATCTTCGGCACTACGTGCCTGCTGGATGCACCAGCCTCGACATTTTGACGGCTTCCCTTGGCGCGACCGTGCGTCACCCCTCTTTTTCCCTCGTCACGCGTGCGATGCAGTCGCGCAGATGCACGCGAATCCCGTTCCGCGCGTTCGAGAACGCTCGCGCAGAGGCATATCGACACTTTCCGGCGATCTTAATTGACCAACTCGGCTTGCTCGAGCCGACCAAACCCGCGGTGCAATTGCACGGCTATCGTTTAGCGGGGAATTTACCCCGGATCTTTGCACCCCCTTTCGAACTTTTAGCTGGATATCACCGTCGTTGAAACGTTTATTTCCTAATCTTCCACTTCAGCTCTCCAGGCTGTTTCAACCACGGCTTCTTATCTGATAAGAAAAATCTAACGGATGAATGAAAATAAATTATTCTACCTTCTTCGTCTGAAAAGTTTGTTTCCTTTACAAATAATGTTCCTCTTTCGCTTTGAAATGTTTCATTTGAAATTGCGCTTTCTATTACCCTTCCGTTTGGGAACACTTTATGTAGAATTGATGCACTTGAAACAAACGCAAAAGTTGAATCCAGTTTGTGGATATTGTTATATCGTTCCCTGTCAAGGTCAGTGTATGAATGATGTAATTATTTTCAATTGCACCGTTGTTCCTTTGATACTCCTAATTGCACTTCCCCTCTAACAGCTGCGTTCTGAGGCGTTATTCATCCGCTTTGCTCACTTTCCATTTCAAACTTTCAATTCTAACTTTGTCAGTCAACGTTCCAGGATTATGACCATTTCATTATGTAATTCTGAAAACTTGGAAATTTTGTGAAATTCATCTTCAACAGGAGTAGGTTGTTTTTTAACGTAGATCGTTAAGACTTTGACGTCGATAAGATTGATAAATTCATCCCTTAATTTCATCCCCGGGTACATGGTAATAGGAAAGCGAATGCGATTATGTTAAGAGCGGGATAGATATTGGCTCGGACGATCGATCCGTCTAATATGCAATTACTATTTGCGCTTGGTGTATCGGTTCATCTACGGCATTCATGAATTATTCCCCATTAATTACAACAATTATAATACTTGAACACGCTCGATTCTCTACGAAATCGATCTAACGTCACTCAATTCGTTTAATCGAAACAAGATCTATCGGACCATGAAAAGCGGATCAAACCGGAGAATGGACTGCGTTTACACGATTTCGATTTGAAACATTTAGAGTTGGATAAAGTCAAGCTCATCAACCACCGTGTGATTTCCGTTTTTAATTTGACAAAGTTAATTCGACAACTCGGATCCATTGGTGCAAACATATTGCAACTTCCAGACGGTAACGGACTAATCAAGTTACGATTGTCTCTCGGCAAGCGAAACTTCGTTTAATCCTCCACCCTGTCAATGATTTAATCCCTGTACTTTTCGCGTTTCTTTTTTTTTTTCTTTTTTTCATGCTCGTCCTGAATTCCGTGATTAACCAATGGAAGGGATCGACGAGCGATCGGAGAGGAGGGGAAGTTAAAATGCGATTATAGCTCGTCGATTTGCGGGTGGAACGGGCAGAGCGATACGAGTTTTGCGGGTCGAGGTACAGGGCACAGGGTGGCAAGCGGAGAAATATTCTCGGGTGAGTGACGGGGAACGGCGCGGGTGGGAACAGTAGAGACCGGAGGTATTGATTGCGACGCGACTCTAGGAACCTGCCCGATACACGACCGCGCTCCTACCTACCTACCTACTACCTACACCCACCGACAAGCGCGATTATTCCTCACATATCCCGCGTTGCTGAGCATTCACGCGACTAAATGTCCTTCACGGGGTTACGAGCACCCGGACCCGATTCCATAAAATTCATACAACTCCTTAGCCTCCTTCGCATCGATCATCGTTCAATCGATTCAACTATCCGCTGTTCGAAACAATTATAAATAATCACCTGGTACACCTGGATAAGCTCGCTGTTGTATCCGACGTACTGCACAGACAAATAAAAAAAAGTTAAAAAAAAGAAAAGTAAGGATACCTGTTTGCAAATTCATAGACAATTAGAGAAACATAGAAACTGATAATGAACTTTATCCCTGAATGATGATATTTTCACTGTAGTTGGTGGTTGATATAGGAAGGTACTAAGTAGCACGTAGAACGATTGAAATAACTCGTGTCATGACTTAGTATATCATGCTATCCCCTTTTTTGTGTTTACAGGGATACAACAGGCTATCGTGTACCTACCGAACGCTCGCCACGAACGTTCTGTCGCATCGGTAAACTTCAACGAGCCGCTACAAACGCGAAAACGAGGTCATATCGGTTTGAAGAGAGCCTATAGGCATAGAACGTACCGGGATACTTCCTCTTGTGCTCTGCGTCCACTTCCCGGGCCAGTGCAAAGTATTTTTCCTTCACGTCTTTTGCCATGTTCTTCCAAAGTATACCTAATCTGAATGTAAAAATATACATGTTTATAAAATAAATAAAACAATCGTAATCATATGATTTGATTAAATTAAAGGTAACGGATTTATGTTAATGAAAGAAAAAATGAACTAGCCTAACGCTGATATCCTTATTGGACTCTCGAGGATTTTCAGCGGCTAATTTCTTTCGCCATTCGTTCGCGAATAGCATAAAGGCGTTCGCTGGTCTCGGGATTTTCCGTTTAACTCCGCTTGAATCAGCAATCCTGCCGTCAATGCATAGAAATGCTGGGAATCCTTCTGGACGTGTCTGCGATCGACCGAGTTGCTGCAGTACCAAGATTTTCTCCTCCTCGCCTTTTTCTCGATTATTGCAAATCTGCCTCGCTTCTACTCGAATCTTCTTCCTTGACACGTTCTCCTTATCACTTTCCAAATCCTGATTGTTCGTCGCTAAGGAAACCTTGAACGTTGCTTCTTTACGTTCCTCTTTTTGGGAATTTTTAACGAGCTGATCCGGGGACGAATCGTTCTCATGATCAGAGGGATGCTTCTCGTTAACTTCAGCCTTGATTGCAGCTAGAAAATTAATATGCATTTCATCACTTGAAAATCTTCACTCGAAATTATTCAGAATATTTAAAAAATCATATCAGTAAATTAATTGCAAAAAATTATAAAGGAGAAATTTCGATTCAGCGAATCAGTTGATAACTCAAAGTACCGTAATATTCCAAGTTACGTAACAGTACATTATTTTGACACATCAGCAAAAATTGTAGCAACAATAATGACGAAGAATCAAACGTTTCTTATGTTACCTTTGTGCACGAGATTTAAAATCATTTCAGAAGCATCCATGGAAAAGTATCGTTTCGAACAACCAATAAACAACCTATTAAATGTTCCTTCTGTTCTCAACAATAAATATCGGTCGCGAGACGTTTAATAATTGCAAAAGCTAACACACGATCGTAGTCGGTTGTCGAGCGGGGCAGCGTTGGTTGTTGAAAACACTTGAAAAATCGTCGTGAAACGATGCACCGATATTCTTCCTTTTCTTGTTCCTCACCGGCTTCCTTCCATGACATTAGCCGCATATGCAGAAGGACAAATGATAGTCGATTATTAATTATGTACGCATTCTGACATTTTCCAGCATTTCCCCTGTAAATCGTACATTTGTCAATTAGCTTATACCGTATAGAATGTCTTGTGACAAGGTCTGTCCATGTCCGCGAGGTATAGATTACTATGGAGTATTATCCTTGAAAAAGAACAGTGATGATTTGGAGATCAAGGCAGCGTGAGTTCAGCAATTGCCAAGCTCTTGTTATCGTTATTAATATCGTGATAAACTCTTAAATCAATTCTTTCAAGTTACGGCTTCCAGATTTCGCCGTCTGGCGATACGATATAATCCCATACGAGCAAAGGATGAAAGTTTGTGGACCATATTCTCCTTAGTGGCTGAAGCATACGATGTGCTTTCGAACCCTTTTAAACGGGCGATATACGATCAATTCGGTGAAGAAGGCCTTAAAAATGGTGTGCCTGGAGACGAAGGATTTATCCAGCCATACATTTATCACGGTGAACCGATGAGAACTTATAGGTATTCTTTTGAATAAAATTAAGAGATCCAATTTGTTTTGATACATCATCTTTCCCTTCTTCGTCCTCCTACGTTTCTATTTTATTTCTTAAGCCGATGTAATCCAAGCTAAAGACCTTCTTACCTGACTGATTTTATAGCCACTTAAATACTTTGAATATTTAAGACTGTACCATTTTTGTTATTCCTGCAGGGAATTCTTCGGAACGGAAAGTCCTTATGCTGATCTATTCCATGTACTAACACAGCCCTCGTCTGTGCTCGAATTTCCCGAGGGGCGGGGTTTAAAGCGCAAGGAAGAGCCTCTGATAAAAACCTTGTATCTAACCCTACTGGAGGTACCATATCGACGTTTTACTTTATTTATAGTTTCTCTTTCTCCGGTGTTAATCACCGTAGATAACATCGGGGATCGTTACGGCAAACCTTGTGCTTACTTATTTTTACTTGAATACCGTCGAATTAAATCAATTTCACCGGTCCTTATTTTCTCTCATTCTGATTATCTTCGCTTTTCCATAAGATTTTCCTTCGATACGAGCAGGTTCTTCTTGGAGGGATTAAAAAGATGAAAATACAGAGATTAGTTCTGGTAGGAGATGACAAGTCTAAAACAGTGACTAAAGAAAAGATTCTAACGATACCTATTAAGCCAGGCATCCCGACAGGAACAAGGATCATTTTCCCCGAGGAAGGTGATCAAGGACCCACGAAGATTCCTGGTAAATTGTTACATCATTTTCAGTCGTAATTATACAAAGGACGATCAAAGTAGTATTCATTTTAAAGCATTTCTGTCCCGTTAACAAGAATTTAATTGCAAATGTTTAAAGAAATTTCACGGGATTGCCGCGTATTTCCTTGTCCACGGAAGCTTGTAACAGCCTTTCCGCTCGCGTATCGATTCAAATTTCGCGAGGGATGCGTTTAAAATGCATCGTACATCTCGCGGGGGGGACAGAAATGGGTTAATCGTAGTAGTTGTTCGCATAATGTCTTTACTCAGTCGAAAGCACGTCAGCGTAGCGGATGTAATCTTCATCACGGAGGACCGGCCTCACGAGACCTTCCGAAGAGAGGGCTCTGACTTGCACATGACGGTCGATATCTTTCTGCGAGAGGCACTGACCGGAACAGTGGTCACCGTCAACACCCTCGACGACAGAACCCTTCGAATACCGATAACGTCTGTCATCGCGTACGTCTCCCTATCGCATTAGTCACCTTCTTCATCCTTTCCCTCCTTTCATTTTCCTCCTCCACCTGAAAAACCATTGCGTTATCTCATTTGCGATTACTTCTAAAAATAAATTTTATTGTGGAATAAAAAATTTAAAAATAATACAGTACCTTCTTTGCATATCTATAAAATTGAAGCTGCGTGGTGATAATTTACATCAATGGTGAATCCAGTGGGGGACGATAGAGATTGAAATGGAGGGGAGGGGGCACCTCGTGCTACGCAATTACCAAATAATATATTATGGTATTAATGAACAATGTTATTTTAATCTTGTACAAAATAGGCCAAATTATCGGAAATACATACTCAAAGAAGGACTGCCGCTACCGGAAAATCCAAAAGACAAAGGAAACTTGATCATCACGTTCAACATTGAATTTCCGGTGTACCTGCCGGTATCGAATAAAACTTATATTAAGAAGGCATTCGATACGTCAGAAGATATTAGAAACACGGAATACATTCATCGTCTTATTCTGGCTAATAAAATGCGTAGAAACATGGATTTCGATGTACCTGTACGTCGAGATCCTGACGACGAAGAAGCGAAACAGTTGGATTCTGAATGTAATTCTTAGATCGTCTCCATTTTGTTTGTTATACTAAATCGATTTATCGATATTTGTCCGAAATATTTGAATCTTTCTAAAATATCGATGAAAGAATAAAATTTGATGAAAGATATGCAAATTCTATTGGAAAATAATGATTTCTGACTATTTAATGATTGTAGTTGTAATCAACTTGGTATCAGAAACCTAAATCTGTCAAAATTTGTTACTATACTCAGTCTCTGATAGTATCGATTTCTCCTACTACGCAGTCTTTGACTTTATTCATAAACATTTTTTATACATACCTTGCATACTTAATTTCTTAATTAATACTTATTGAACACATGATGTTCCAAAAAACGTGCTCAACATTTGAAATAACTTTAGAATGTAGAAAAACTAAACGACCGTTACAAATCGACTGTCCCGCCCTCTATCGGCGCAGCTTGCAACTTGAAGAACAAAATCGATGCGCACGGTCGATAATCTATCTCCGACAACCGAATCTTGTCTTTTCCTTTATTCTTGTCATTTTTTTACAAAATTCATCGTCATTTCATCGAACCCCTTCTCAGTTCGTCGAGCAGTGAAACAAATCGGAGAGGCAAAGAAAGTAAGGAAGAGAAAAAAATTCCATTCGATGTTGGCCGAACGAGACACGATAATCTCGGACAATCATATGACTCCTCCGCACGTGACTTTATTTACAGTTGACTGATACTCGAGAACATGTATGGTGCAGTTCCTTGTGACATGATAGACCGAAAACGAAACAAAGTTAGCGAGCAATGCGGTAGTTACAAGCGGTCATTAGTTTATGATGCCTTTGCTTGATAAGCTGTTCCCTTCGAGGAAGAGTTTCAGAAGTAACGTTCAAACTGTCGTAGCATCGAATGTCGGAACGGAAGAAGATGATAGGTGAGAACTACCCTTTTATTTTCAGGCATACCCTTTCATTTATTTGCATTCATCTTGCTTATTGAAGCGTTTTTTTTTATAGTGTCATTGTTCTATATTTGTTAATCCTATTCATTGTTTCGATATCTGTTGCTGATATGACGTATCGATTATCGATGTTTCCACATCGTTCTAACGGTTATTTTCTAACGAAACTTTTTATTGCTACGAGGAATGGATTTTTCTTTTAAGGAAACGTTGTAGAAATAAAGAAATATTGTTAATATTTGATTTCTATGTAATTCGATGTACCTTAACCTTATTTTGCGTTATACTCATTTCTATCTCCTGTTGGCGGGAGTCATATCTTTCATCGTTACTAACACACTCGTGACTTGGCTTTATGCATCGAACCGTAAAATTGACCTCTATGTTAAGACTATACGAACATCTGTTCTAAATCTTTTCATTTTTCACCATATTTTTATGCGAATAAACTTGCCTTATGACATCTCGTATGTTAATTATTTTTGAATACATAACAAATTATTTTCTCGATAGGTATTACGCGTCGCTATATTGGGGTCAAAACATTGTACTTTAAAAAACTTATTTACCGAACAATTTAAAATATCCAATTTACATAAATCTTGTACAAATTTTGTCTACATACGATCTATGCTTAGTTTCTGGCAAGAATCACACGATTATTGTGACAGTTATAATTAACACCTGCTATAGATTAGAAAGTTATATAAGGAAAGAGCAGTATATTATTGCGGCATAGTATTAGCAATTCTTCAAATTGAAACATTATTTTATCATTTGTAGTATGAATTATACCAGTGTGAAAAATGATAATTAAATAAATTCTCATAATTGCAGAATCTCTTCCTTATGCCTTGGAACGGGTCAAGTTCGGATCTTGTTATTCCGAGAATGCGAATGGCGTGGAAGGAAATTACTGTTCGATTCCCTTCCTTTGGAAAAGAAATGGTGTAAAAATAAAACGGCTCCGTTTGATCTGAAAAATAATGCCAGTCCGAAGAACAGCGAATCAGTTAATTATTCGAACGGCCGCAATTTTGAGGTAAGAGGTCATCGTTAAAGATAGGAAAATTCAATTCATGAATTCTATTCAAAAATTTATAATTGTAAATTTTCAGCGGGAAAAAACAGCCGAGGATGACGTGAGTTTATTAAGCGAGATGGTATTTGGTACCGTGGCGATGACCTACAGAGGATCCTCTTTTAAGGTGAAATATAATTAAATACACCAAGAGTATAATAATTAGGCCGCTATATAAACACTCACAGTGACCACTGTGATCGATTTGCAAAGAATGGTCAAAATTGATAATCTAGTTTTTGAGTTAAAAAGCCCCAAAAAAATTCCCATCAGTTATTTAATAGCGGAGCTTCGCTCCAATTAAAATAAAATCCATCAGCTAACCGCTGCTGTTACATTAAAACTCTTACATTTGATTTCAAGATCCATTCGATGAATTCGCCGCCATGTATCATGTGTACGAAAGTTTTCCCAGCTACAGAACACAATACTTGCAAACAGAGGTAAAGCTGGCCTGTTCATTATTGGTATCGTGTTGCGATTGATTTGTCGGTGGGATATCTGAATTATTGCATGATTACTATGTTCCAGCGATAGAGTATCGGATGAAGGATTGGGTCGTTCCGTGAATTTGGATTCCAATTCCAGTCTGCGAACCCTCTGTAAGCGGAATCGTTGAAACGATTTAGATGAAAAATAAGAAACACCTTAATCACTGATTAATCTTTCAGTATCTAGACCAAGTTCCGGCAACTTATCTGGGTCTGAATCGAATCCTGAACCAAGGAAAAATTCTACTTGTTCTAGTACCGGCAGCGGCTGGGACATAGAAATACCGCCACCGACAGGCAGTAAGTTTAAACGAAATTAGAGATAATGCATCGCTGAGAGGTGTTAATTATAAAATGTGATGCTAATACAGGTTCCCAATCGTTGGAGAGCAATGGATCTTCCGGTTTCGGTAGCCTTTCCAGTTTACGTCGAAGATGGTTGCGAGCGGTTTCCACCTCTTTGGCACGAACTGATTCCGACGATGCCTTTGGAGTGCAGTATTGGAACGAAACTGGAAATGAAAATAAAGAAACTCATGTTAAGCGTCATAAAACGAGGCTGGGATTAACTATGTTAGTGCGATTAGCCGAGGGCCATGAAAGGTTTGAACTTGATTTAAGATGTTAAGTGTTGACACTCCTCACATTATAAAACATAGTTAAATTTATTACCTTGCGTTACAGGAAGATAGAAGCTCGTCTTTTGGAGCATATGGCTCTGTTGGAAGGAATGTTGGATCGTTTGCGATACTTTTGTATCGACGTGAACAGTGTTAACGTTCAGAACAAAGGGATGCAACTTCCTGAACGACTTTATAGATCTTCTTATCAATTAATCGTCTCGTTGTTACGTTTGCTCACTAATGTTAATACGAATCGAAACTCGTGCAGTCCTTTACTGTGGCACGATGTATTACTTAATTCAGTGAGAATAGAGCACAAAATGAGTACACTGCATTATAGTTTGCAACAAATGTGTCAGTTGCTCGAAGACATTGACACAAAGTCGACTAACTTGTAAGTATATACATATCAGATAAGAATATCTTAGATTATAATGTCTGTATATTTCAGTTTTTTAAGTACAGTTGTAACTGCTGTTTTAACATATCATCTTGGTTGGATATATACTACACTGCCTGTTCAAGATCGACAATTGGTAATTATATAATTTTCCTTGTCTTCGTAGTTTTTCTTTAATAACTCTTTTATTGTTATCATAATTTTCAGATGGAAAAATTAGGTACTTGGTACCCCTGTAATCCTCTATGGGCTCAGTTAGGTGACTTGTACGGGGCATTAAGCAACCCCATTAGAATAGCGCACACTGTCGTCGCAGGAGATCCTCAAAAGGTCGATCTGATTAATTCTGTTTTATCATTTCTATCATATTTCATTCGTAGCGGAATTGTACAGAAGCGGAAAGAATATTGCTGCGTTATCGAAGAAGATATCCAAGAAGCCGCGAATCTTTTAGAACAAGCAAGAATAAAACGTCCACACTTGTTTAGCTCGAAAGTAACTTGTAATGACCGAGAAACTTCAACGTCTCGACGTATACCGCATACGTCTGTTCGAAAAAAGCTTTCGGTGGATCATTCGTTTGATACAGAAAACGATAACGCCACGATGCAGCGCTCTTATTCTCAATATGGCATAGAAAGATTAGGAGCAGAAGGATCGGTTAGCTCTCTTAAACGCAGCACCACGATGGAATCGAATCTTGATTCGTTCGTGTTAAAACCGTTAAAGTCTGAAAGAGATACTAAGCTCGCAATGAAGGAGTTTTCTTGGGACGAGGATGGAAACGAAAAGGACTCTGTCGACGAGAAAACTTGCACGTCGAGCAAGGTTAAAATAGTAGTTAGCGAAATCGCATCGCAAGATACTGACATAACTAAGACTGATCCGCAATATTGTTTTGACTTTCCATTGCGAAACTTTGAGAAGAAAGTTGAGAATGACGATACCGAAGAGGTATTCACGAATTCTAAGATAGATACCCTTCAAGAATTCGACGATACTTGCGTGAACACATTGAAATTATATTCTACCAGGCCAGGTTTTCACACTGGTCCAGGTATGGTGAACGAAACGAAAAATTCTCACGTATTCTTCATGCTCGGCGACGAAGAGAAATCTATGAAAACGTTATCACGACCGCGGCTTGGATATAATTGTCAATGTTTGTTTACCAGAGTACCAAGCACGTCCGCGCAATTGCCAGAAGGCGTATTGAGAAAAATCATTCAGAGAAATTTTCCTGAGTCTTCCAAAAGTATTCAGTCGTCGGCCGGAGTACCATCAGGATCTTTCGAATTTTGTCAAAAGTGTAATGGCCAAAGTTTTGTACCTTCTCAAAATTACGACAGCTGCAAACAAGTTCTGGAAACTCCAACTAACGCGACTGAAGTTCTGCGTACCTGCGGTAGCACGGTCGGCGATGGAAACGTTAGAATGTCTAGATCTAACAGTTTAGAAGCATTAATGGAAGCTAGTAGCGTTGTTGAATTACCTATGCCACGGTTAGTTTCATTAACGTTCTTACGATATCGTGAAATTAGCGTGAAACGTAATATTCTTATTACAGGTCGAGAAAAATGAAGAAGACTGATTCGCACCAGGATACCGGATTTACGAAGACACTTTTACAAAGTAAAATAAAAAATGAAGAGACGAACGGAGTGAATAACTTTGAAACTTCTTACACGTGGGGATTAGTGTTACAAGGTTTGCCAAAAAAGAAAAAGAGGAGAAAAAAGAAAGTTATTAAAGAAGAAAACAAAAATGATGTTGAAGTAGAAAAAGAATGGTGGTATTGTATACGGGAAGAATGCCTTGCAAGTGCACGTTTCCCGACTATTGATCAACCAGTTGCCGAATCACTTTGTATCTTAGCGGATTTAGATACTTGGCACGTTGGGATTATATCTAACAATATGCCTTCTCACACTGCACCCTTGCCAGTTGGTATGTCCAGGCTCGTATCAAACATGCTCGAAGGTTTTGTCTACTTATGGCGGAAATATCATTCAGCTTCACAAGTAAACAATTGTTTTAACTTTCATTATATTTGTAATGTATGCGCAGATTTAAAGAAACATTTCTCACGTGTTTCTGTTCATTTTGCTGTAGTGCATAGGCATACTCGAAGCAAAACTGAGAGAAATGTGGTTAAAAAGTGAAGCACTGGCTGAGGTACTTCTAGCGACAGAAGTATGCGATGCTAGTATTGCAAACTTAACACACGTCCTCGATCTTGATGCAGCAGACATACCACTTCTACTCGCAGTTGCAACTTCCCATTCACCAGAGATAGCACAAAGGTTTGGCCTCACACTTACTTAACTGCATCTCATTACTCTTATCACAATTTCTATTTAGTGACAAGTAGCTTTTTTTTTTTTTTTTCATTTGAAGCAACAACTGTGAAAACAATTTTTTCATTAATTAGTAGGGTCATAGATAATTAATGTTAAGACTTTGTATATTTTATTAAGTCTTTATCCATCCTTTAAATGAAGTTTAACTTCTGTTTATATTAAAATCAGAATAAAACTGTCGTACAAGCTTATTTTTAATACATTAGGTAAGATTGGAATTTGCATTTACATATTGAAACTTCAATATATATTTTATTCTATTTAATTCTTTTTAATATATTATCATATTGCAAGTGCAAATAATTGATAAACATTTTAGAGATATTTAATTCATTTCAAAGGACGGATGATGATTCAAACTTTTTTTTAAAATCAAGATGCAATATTTAATGTACATACAAAAAACAATATAGTTTTTTATAGATTGACTATAAAATTATATTTCAGTTATAAAAAATTATAAAAGTAATTTAAAAAATAAAATACTTAGCCGTTTTTTTAATAAAACATGTAAAAATCTAGCGTTATGTACTCTGTAAGAGTGCACAATAAAACTTAAATTAATTTTTATAACTGACGTGTTTTAGATTTTCCAATATTGTAATTTTTGTATTATTTTACATAAATTTGTAACTATAGAACATTAGAAATATTTAAATTTCAATGAGCAAATGGTATTTAAAAGAAATAAAAGTAATTTTTTATAATCGTGTGAATTTTATTTTTTAACCTAATTTGTTCGTATCTTCTGCTATGAAGTAGATTCTTAAAGGTAGTGAAACAGATTTTTTACATAAGCAGGTTAATTTTATTAGGAATAAGAATTCTGAACATTAAATAATTCGATTTAATTGGTTTAGTAAATTGTAAACATATGGAAAGCTAATCAAACTGAAAACTATACCTGATATCACGTGATCAACACAAATTTGAAAAAAGCTTTAAGTGCAAATCCTCTGTGTTCATTATAATTACTGATTGGTATTTATGATATCATCGATCTTTAATATACTGCGCACAGTTTCTGAAGCAAGTGTAATAGCACTTGTAGAAACTAATAATGGTTGTATCACATTTTCCTCCAAAATGTTGGTAATGGTTCCCTTTCGTACATTAATACCTGTAGTATGTTCTCCTTTAGCGTGTCGATTTCGAAGTTCTGTTACAGTCGCGATAGGATTTAATCCTGCATTTTCTGCTAGCGTCGATGGGATGATCTAAAACGTTTAAAAATACAACGTTAAAATATACAAAAAAATTAGAATATAAACACACATATTTACTTAAAGAAGATAGTAAACCTCAAATGCATTTGCAAATCCTTTAATGCAATAAGCATCAACACCACCTAATGTCTGAGCATACGGTACGAGTTTTAATGCGAGTTCAATCTCAGGCGCTCCTCCACCAGCAATCAGAGCTTTTTGTTTTACTAAACAACGAACTACGCATAATGCATCGTGCAGCGATCGTTCTGCTTCTTCTAAAACCAGTTTGTTGCTGCCACGCACAAGTACTGTTACCGTAGGTCCAGGATTTTGGATTTTAGTAATCTATAATTCAAAGAAATATTTTAATTATGTTATGATATAAATCTATAAATAATAATAATAAACATACTAACCTTAACAAACTTAGAATTTCCAGTTTGTACCTCTTCGCACAGTTCTGCGTTAACGAGATTTTCAGGAACGAAATGATCCAGCGAGGCAATGGGTCTGCAATTTAATGTTTTACAAATAAATGGAATATCTTCGCGTTCAATATCTTTGATCACCATGACTTTGATTTTATCCAGAAAATGAATAGCCAGATCACTGACAGCATCGCGGAGAATCGATTTTTGTACGAGGAGTACATTACAACCAGCTTTTTTAATTTGTTTTACAATATTTAATATGTAAGCTCTTTCTTCTTTTAAAACACGATCCATTGCAGCGTAATCGGATACAACCACGTTGTGATCCATCTGGAATAATAAACATATTCAATTTATGTTTAAGAATAAAAATTGATATGCTTCTTTTAAATTACTTACATCCGTTTTAGGCGGAGAAATACAAAACTGAATTAAACCTATTTTTGCTTTTTCAATGCGCCTCGGTCCATTAATATTGCAAGATTTTTGAGTAAATATTAATCCTTCTATCAGTTCAGTGTCTTCGACAGTGCCGCCTAACTTTTTTATGACTTTTATATTCTGCAAATGTAATATAACATATAGTAAATTTATTTATACAAATTTATGGTGTTCAGTATCCTTACATTAAGATCAACACTGTTCTCCTTTCCTTCTTCTGTAATTTTTAATACTGCATTAACAGCCAATGGTGCCAGAAGACTTGATTGTTGAAAGACAACCTGGAAGAAGGAAATGATATAATAATTTATTTCTTTTACTGTTTAAAATTAACATATAATGCATATATAACTGCAGTATGTCAAGTGCATACTTTTGAGTTAAGTGCAGTTGCAGCAGCCCTAATTAGTGACTGTTCATCCCTCAAGTCAACAGGAATAGACATATTTGTTAATATTTGCACAGCTTCAGCTGCAGCCTTTTGAAATGCATCACTGATCAAAGTAGGATGTATCCCTTTCTGTAACAAACGTTCTGCAGCTTCCAGAAGAGAGCCAGCCATTATAACAACACTGGTAGTACCATCTCCAGCTTCAATATCTTGTGCTTTTGATAATTCAACTAACTGAAATGATAAAATTTATATTAAATTTCAGAAGCATTGATATAAGCTTCAGCAATTCTTTGTGTGCTGTTTAGAAGATTACCATTTTTGCTGCAGGATGTACAACATTCATTTCTTTTAGGATTGTAGCACCATCATTTGTAATTGTAACTTCGCCATTAGCAGCTTGGATCTAAATACATAATAAAAAATATCATGCTCTTATTATTTAAGATAACTTACAATTAGTATCAAAAGACTCAAATATAAATAATTTTACCATTTTATCCATTCCTCTAGGACCTAAACTGGTACGAACTGCATCGCTAACCGCTGAAATGTAAATGAATATTTAATCATTTAATTACTTTGCTGGACATGACTATATAAGGTAAGATTTCTGTCATGAGTATAAAGAGGTAATTATCGAAAGGTAATTACCCAAACGTTGATGGATTAATTACCTTTCGCAGCATTAATATTACTGGTTCGAATATCGGTTGGTTTGCTTTTATCCTTATACGCATTTGTACGAGAACCTGGTCTATGGCCGCTTGCTGGGAAAGCCGTCATTTTTGGTAACTGGGTGACGTTTGTCAGATCAGGTTTATTACGAAGTTTGTATGCAAGTTTATAAGGAACTTCGTTCCTCTGAGTTTTTAATATCTTTTCTGGTGGCACTTTTCCTTACAATTCGACGAACTTTCAGGGAAAAATCTAATTCTTCTCAACGGTGAAGCATGCGTTTCAAGAAACGACTCGAAACCTAAGAATATAGAATGTAATAAGAGGAATACTAATGAAAAATATGGAAGATACGATGGCTAGCATCACCTGGTGGTCTTTTTCGGAAAGTATAACCAAAATCAGTTTCCATTCTGTGTTTCTGAAATGATTAGTGATTGATGTTAAAATACGATTTCGATATACAAGATAGCGCCATTGCATACCACCGTTTATTATTTACATGAATGCGTTGCACTTAAGATGCAAGTAATTGATAATCGTAGAAGAACATGAGCTTTGACAAATTTTAATCGAAGCAACACTGATATCTGTAAAAATGACGTAAGTTTAAAAAATGCTTAAGAATAAACCTGATAGATTGTCACCTGTCCGTTGTCATTTCTGATAATCGGCATGGGATGTGCCAACTCACCTACTATCAGTTAGATACGAATTTTGTTATGGCAGTATGCGTTTTTTAAAAAACCTGTTATAACTGATGATGAAATAAGTTTTTATGATAACACTGTGTAAAAGAAAATCGTGATACGATGGCGAATGTAGCTGTCGGGGTCAACTCGGAAAATACTTGCAAATTTTTGGAATCGTTGCAAGCCGACTTGAAAGTACTTGCTTCAGAAACTAAGAAGAAATATCCGCAGATTAAAGAAGTATGTTCCTATTATTAATCTCTTTTTTATGACTGAATGTTTATTATTATATAATTTTAAATAATACAGTAAGGTTACCTTAGAAGTTTAATATATGCAGTGTGTATTCATTAAATCTTATTATTGCAGTCATGCGAGGAAGGTATTGCAAAAATAAGAACAGCTTCAAATACTTCAGGTGCCCCTATTTATTATATTGTTAATCAAATCTTATATCCTTTGGTACAAGGCTGTGAGAGTAAAGATATAAAAATTATCAAGGTAGGTATAACATACATACTGTTAAATAAATTTTTCTTTTTCTTGTTTATACTAAAATTTGATGCTGTTTATTTTAGTTTTGTTTGAGTATGATGCAAAGATTAATTACACAACAAGCAGTTGATCAGAAAGGTGCCCGTTATATTACGGACACATTATGGATGCTGATGGAAGCAGGAACAGAAGAAGTTAAAGTTTTACAAACTGTAACACTCCTACTTACTAGCAATACTGTTGTTCATGGTGAAACACTTGCAAGGGTAATAATTTTTACCCTCTTCAAATTACACATTTTCTTTTTTCAAATAGGATTGATGAAAAAAAATAATGCTTATATTTCAGAATCTAGTGCTCTGTTTTCGTTTGCATTTCACAAAAGACTCTACAACTATCAATACAGCAGGGGCTACTGTCAGACAATTGGTGTCATTAGTATTTGAGCGTGTTGTTGCAGAAGATGAACAGAGCCCTGACACTGAGGATTCTGATGAAATTAATTTAGAGGAATTAAAAATTCCTACCAATCAAGCACCTAAAGGCTTAGGACCATGTGCTGCTGATGCATACTTAATGTTCCAAGTAAATTGATTTAAATGAATCATTAAATTGTTGAATAACATTGAATTGTTGAGTTTGAATTTTTTTAGGATTTAGTACAATTGGTAAACGCAGATCAGCCCTACTGGTTAATTGGTATTACCGAAATGACGCGTACATTTGGATTAGAATTGTTAGAATCTGTGCTAACAAATTTTTCGTCCGTATTTTTTAAGGTATTTGATAACGGCTATATGCATAAATTGTAATTCAAGTTATGAGTTTTCAATGTTATACTTTTTTTTTCAGCACCCAGAATTTAGTTTTTTGCTAAAAGAAAGAGTTTGTGCTCTTGTAATTAAATTGTTTTCACCTAATATCAAATACCGCAATTCTGTCCCAGCATCTCTACAACAAGCTACACCTTTAGATAAACCCTATTTTCCTATTAGTATGAGGCTTCTTCGGGTTGTTTCTATTTTAATCCAGAAGTATCATTCTCTTTTGGTAAGAATAATTTTTAAAAACATTTTTATAACTGTACTAAACCCGACTAGAAAATAAATTATAAACCAATATTAACGAGCATAATAAAATTAAATCGATGTACTTGTGTGTTTTCAGGTAACTGAATGTGAAATATTTCTGTCTTTAATTGTCAAGTTTTTGGATCCTGATAAACCTACCTGGCAAAGAGCTTTAGCTTTAGAGGTTTTGCATAAAATGACAGTACAAGCTGATCTTCTTACAAATTTTTGTGAATGTTACGATTTAAAACCTCATGCAACTAACATCTTTCAAGATATTGTTAATAGTTTAGGTGCCTATGTACATAGTCTTTTTGTTAATCCTCAAATGATGAATCAAAATAACATGGGTAAGATTCGTTCTATGAATAATGATAAAACACTGTGTACAACAATATTAACGTCTTTCTAATATAGCGACAGGTACAACGGCACCTCAAAGTACAGCTTCTCCACTATTCACTGGAATGCCTATAGGACCTGGTGTTTCACCTCAACCTGGTTTTTACTCTCGTGGAATATGGCTACCGGTAGTCGCGACGTTCACAAGTGGTCAAGCTAAATCTACCTAGTATGTTCACAATTATCTCACGATTTTTTTATATAAAAATACAATATAATTTGTTTAATTTTCAGTTTGGACATGCTTGATAAAGTTGAACCACCTCAAATTCCCATTGGTTATGGAATAAGTATAGCTTATGCTTGTTTATTAGATATTATACGTTCTATAGCTCTTGCTATAAATGGATCTAGTGAAACAGTAACTGGAAATCAGTCGTATAAACCGAGTGAATCTGAACGGAAGCTTCATACTCAACTTATCAACTCCAGCTGGTGTGGTTTGTTAGCAGCTTTAAGTCCCCTCATAGATGCAAGGTAAGGAAGACCTATATTTCTTTCACTACCTCTTTATGAAATATAAAAGTAATTTTGTTTTATTGTAATTATTAGCACCGATGAATCTGCGACAGAAAATGTATTGAAAGCAATTCAAACTTTCGCGTCTTTATGTGGCCAGTTAGAATTACAAGCTCCTCGCGATGCATTCATTACTGCAATATGTAAAGCATCATTGCCTCCTCATTATGCGTTGACTGTATTGTACAATGCTCCCCAAGGAATACCGACCGCAAGACAACAAGAATCCACTCAATACAATGTAACGATCGGTGAACCAGATTATAGGCAACAAGTGGTAGCAGTTGGAACTCCATTACCCACTGCATCTTTACCAGTTGGTACGTTGATTTATAACGAGTATTACAGTTGATAACCTGAAATGAACGTAACATTATGTTATTAGGTGCTCATCAAGGTCCAGTTATGTTAACAGCAAAGAATTTACAATGCATGCGAGCATTGCTGTCCCTCGCTCATTGCCATGGAAGTATACTGGGTAGCGCATGGCACTTGGTACTTACCACGTTACAACATCTTGTCTGGATACTCGGTCTGAAACCTTCAACAGGAGGATCTTTAAAAGCTGGAAGGACTGCTGCTGATCCGAATGCAGTACTTACAAATGCGGTTATGGCGGATTTACCTGTACTTAGCACCATGCTTAGTAGACTGTTCGAAAGTAGCCAGCATCTGGACGATGTAGCTTTACATCATCTGATAGATGCACTTTGCAAATTAAGCCACGAAGCTATGGAGTTAGCTTATTCTAATAGAGTAAGTGTAAAGTTCTTTCATATTTTGCACTATTACAATTATTACCTACCTTCTAAGGAAAGGTAAGAAAGTACTTGATACGTCTGTATTAGGAACCATCGTTATTTGCTGTGGCTAAACTCTTAGAAACTGGTCTGGTAAATTTACCACGGGTAGAGGTCCTCTGGAGGCCTTTAACAAATCATTTGTTAGAGGTTTGTCAACATCCGCACATCCGTATGAGGGAATGGGGAGTCGAGGCTATTACGTACCTTGTCAAAACGGCACTTCAGCATAAATATCCTCAACCTTTACGCGATAATCAAGTATATTTATTTATCACCATGATTTTTTAATTAAATCTCTGCTTCGAGGAATCAAGTAATAAAAATGTTATATATTGTTCTATCACAGAAGCTGCAGACATTACTTTTAGGACCATTATCAGAATTATCGTCGGTACGTCATGGAGATGTAAGACAACGGCAGCTTGAATGCGTTTTACAAGTTTTACATGGGGCAGGAGAGACATTATATCATGGTTGGCCTTTGGTACTTGGCATCATTGGAGCAGTATCTGATCACCACGGGTATATATTATTAATAATGTAATTTAGATTAAATAATATTTATATCTTTTACTTTATTTTTGTGTTTATATATTTTACAGAGAAGCTTTAGTTAGAATAGCCTTTCAGTGTTTGCAATTAGTAGTAACTGATTTTCTACCTGTGATGCCGTGGCGGTGTCTTCCACTTTGCGTCGACACAGCCGCCAAATTTGGTTCACAAACGCAAGAATTAAATATTTCTTTGACTGCTGTTGGATTAATGGTAAGATAAAATTTAACTCGACGAAAATTCATTCAAATCAAAACTCTTTTCACTTTTAACGTCGACATTTTGTTTTTTCTTCCTTAAAAGATGTTAGAAGAGTTCGGAAATTTATGTGTTGCGCGAATACGGTGACTTTTTCTTTGGAATTCCTTTGGAATGTACATAGCAGAGCAGAAAGTCGTGGTTAAAAGATGCACATTTGTTCCGCTATGGAAGAACATAGAAGCTCCTAAAGTTATTAAAGTTGAAATCAAGAAAATCAGGCAAATACAGTTCATTACGCGTTAATAAAATACATTTCTGTTGTATATTAACTTCATTATCGTAGATTTTACGATATAGGACGGATTATAGGTCCATTTCATAGATTCATAATAAATTTAATGTATTTATATTGGGGTATTATTTTTGCAGTGGAACATAAGTGATTATTTTTACCAAAATCAAGAAAAGCTCTGTGTTTCTCTTAAAGGAGATTCATCGTCTGTGTTTCCGGATTTTCCCGGAACAACAAATATGCCACCATTTGATAAACTTTGGATGTGCCTGTACGCAAGATTAGGTAATACAATGATTTTCAAATTAATAACAGCAGAATCTTTATAACCAGGTTTCACTTATATTTTAAAGGTGATTTATGCGTGGATTCTCGGCCTGCAGTGCGTAAATCGGCTAGTCAAACTTTGTTTTCTACAATATCTGCTCATGGTAGTCTGTTGCACCAACCAACTTGGCAAGCTGTCCTTTGGCAGGTTCTGTTTCCATTATTGGATAAAGTAAGAAGTTTATCTAATTCTGCTAGTAGTGAGAAAGTTGATACTAGTGGAAATATACTTATCCATCATAGTAGAAACACCGCACAGAAACAGTGGGCAGAAACACAGGTAATAACCAAAATTAGAAATTATGTCTAGAAAAGTTGTACCATAAATTTTGTAAATCGGATAAATCCTAGGTATTGACGTTGAGCGGGGTTGGTAGAGTGTTCAACACGAAACGTCAACTATTGCAAATGTTGGGAGATTTTCCTAGAGCTTGGTCTCTGTTACTAGAATTCATAGAAAATTCTGCACTTAGCAAGAACAATGAGGTATGTTTTCTTAAAAAATAAAAGGAAAGAAAAACATGTTATCATATCATGTTCAAAATTACCAGGTATCATTGGCAGCTTTAAAGTCATTTCAAGAGATTTTATACCTTCAAAAAGGAAGTGACAATAATGAAGTAGTTCAGTCGAACGATTCTGAAGCACTATGGATTGTTGCATGGCGCGTATGGCTTAACATAGGAATGGAAAGTACAACACCGCCTCAAGAAGGTGAAACGGAACCTTACGTACCATCGCAAGCATTTTTAACAGCATTAGTTCACATATTTCCAGCTGTTTTTCAACACATCAGAAATAAGTATGCTTATTAATCTTGACAATTAATCAAGTTTTCATTTTAGTAATAGAAATTTGCTGTTCTACTTACCAAGTTTCTCTTTTATCTCAGATTTACCGGTCCAGATTTACAAAAGCTTTGCATTGTGCTTAAAAATGCGGTTGCAGTTCCAGTACACGGTGAGTCGACACCGTACATCTTACCTACAATGCCAGATGTCGTCCTTACTCATTTACAGGATGGTGTACTTCACTCGATGGAGCTTCTGCAGAAAGTATATAGATTAGTTCAAAATCTACGTTATCTTTATTTAATCGATATTAAGTTTATTATACTTTGGGCAGGAAGCATTAAACGGACCTGAGAACCTGCGAACTATGATCGTTATGATATTTCTTCAGCTCTTGAGTTTCTCAAAATTGGCTTGCGAAGCTCCTACTTATGGTAAAATACCAACCAAACACATTTCTCAAGTTCGAGGTGTATCCGTGCGTATTTCTTCACTTTGATTTGGCTCGTTTACGAGAAAATTTTATTTACTATTTATTATTTACGTAGGCCGATTGGGTAACCATGAATTACGTTCCTTTCGGGGAGAAAGCTTTATCAATGGTCGTAACATTATACCAAAAAACGGCACATGAGATGGCAGTTATAGATGGACAAGTTTTAAAGCACATTATAGAAGCTTTGCACGTACCTTTATCAATGAAATATGCTTGTCCATCGCCAACAACTTGGAAATTGGCTGTTACCAGTCTGCTTGCTGTATTACATACTGGTTTGCCTCTAGCCAGAAAATATCCAGAACAGTTTCAAAGTATGTGGTCGGAACTTGCAAGTACCTTGGATGATTTCTTGTTTCCTAAAAGGTAATTGATAATCTCAAGATCGATAATCTGGGTTCAATTAAAAGTGGTTGTATTATTGCTTTATTAATTACAGCGTATTAAATGTCGAAAGAGGTGTTGAAGAAATTCAAGCAGACGAAGCTGTAGATTGTCAAGTGATGGAACTTTTACGAGATGAAGTGTTGCCACATTCTCAGCACATACCTCATCAGTTTATTTTACGAGTAGTTATGCTTTTAAACAAAGGATCTATACATTCAGCAACTACGACAAATATTGGTAAACTACTCTTTTTTTTTTTAAAAGAAAAGGGTTTATATATAATACTATTTTTTATGTATTCTTGCAGAAAGTAGCGGTGAAACTAAGTTGAGGGAAGAGTTCGCAAAAACGTGTTTCGAAACATTACTTCAATTTTCTCTCTTAGATGGATTGAACAATGATTCAGAACACGATACATCTAAGAACCCTGAAAATGACGAAGGAGGCGTTGCAGGACGATTGGCGGTTACTGCTTTACTTCATAGATTTCAAGAGGTTTTACGACGATATATCGAAAACGAAAGGAGAAGCGGAAAATGTCCATTACCTAGGTAATAGTTTTGTTTCTAATTGACTCTTCTTTCAATGGTATTTAAAGTAGTTTTGGTAATAACTAAAATTAACATGGGATGTAATAAAAGCATTCATTTTTAAGTACTTATTATAGAAACGTTTTCTAGGTACAGATTATCTGAGATTTCATTTGTTTTGAAAGCTGTTGCAACGCTTGTGGTTTCACTGAAAAAAGCACCTCCTAATAAAGGTAATTATTTATATATTGATATTTATTTAAAAAAGAATAAAATTTGAATTATATGTTTTAGTTGAAAGATCAGTATGGGAGCAATTGATAGGTCTGTATCCCTGTTTAGTAGAATGTACAATTGCTACGGCATCGGGTCAAGTGTCAAGATCTTTACGAGAAGCTTTGCTGCAATATCATGATCTATTAAAGCCACCGCTTCATAGTTCCACAACGTCAAACGGTGTTTGACCATTGCACTCTTTACTTCTAATTCGAAATAATGATGTTTGCTACGTCGTCAAATAGTAAACTTCTTGTAACTACGACGGCGTGTACAATAAATATCATCGAAAAGTTTTTACTTCCGTGTACACGTGTATGCCGAAGAATCTGAGGTGAAGTATTCTTGAAAATTTTTAATTTATGTATGAATCAAACGATACGTTATTCAAATTATCATATAATGAAGATAAACAATTCGATCATCTTTATTTTTATGACATCTTGACTCTGTTGAACGCAATAGATTTTTATAGATTGATAATTTCCATTAGCAAATGAATGATTGTGTAAAAAGTACATCACTTTAGTTACTTATTAGAAATTTCAAGAACTTCCAATTCGTTTGTATAAAAATGATAAAGAACATCCTTAGTTTAGAAAAACTTGAAATAATAGAAAAACCTTTATATATAGTAGATAATATTTATAAATAATAAAATCTGCATACAATTTTTTGTTAAGTTAGCATTACGTGTAACGAGCAAAAGCAAAAGTAATGTGGTCTTTCATGTTTAAGTGAAATAGCACATAAAAGATTGTAGGTTTAGGAAGTCGAAGCAAGTATATAAAAATTGTATCAAACATATGTTTCGTAAGCGCAAATTGATTGATAGCTACAAATTATATACACGCTATTGTACATAGATAATGTACAAGTTGGCTTTTCTAATATTGTACATATTGAAATAATCGCGATTAGAATATACAGTAAGATTTTATAAATAATATAAAATTATTATTCGCTATTCTTACAATGATATGATATCGAAAAATTATGATATAACGATGTAAATAGCTAAACGGTAATTCAATAAAAGTCTGAAATATTTATTGCTATTTTTGTATAGAAATCGTGCCTTTGTAGGTTTTTAGACGTTGTAATTTTTCAGCACAAATTTATATAATTAAAATTATAATATAAATAAAAATTATATAAATAAAAATTATTTATATAATTTTATTCAAAATTTTAATCATCTGTATAAAAGACGAAACAATATGCATTCATTTCATCGGTTGTTAATATTCAATATTTTCATCTATATACATATTTATATGAAAATTTATGGATTGAATATTTGTAATATTATATTAACTGAAATTGATTAATACTGCTACTTGATTCGATTGCTCGTAACAGACAGCCGCCATTAATAGTGTTAAAAAGAAGTATCTTTGAAATCTAGATGTCGCGTGCGTAACCGGAAAACTTCTAGAAACTGTGAAGTTTCAGCAAAAAGTATGTTATAAATATTGTTTTATATTGTTTCTTTACGCTAAATAACAAATTAATTTATTAATTTTGTTTCTGTTTTATCAAATCGAAGTTTTTCGGCAACAAAGTGTTGAATTTGATTCGTGATGTATTTTCGAGTGACGCCGCAGCCATGATTGTTTAGTTTCGGGGGGATGAAAAGTGAACGCGAACGACGGATTTGAATGAAACGCGTGTGATTACAGCATACCAGTATATTTATGGGTTTAACGAGTGTGCCTGTTAATTGAGAGATATGGTAAGCGGGAGTATGATTTAAAACATAAGTTATGTACTTATCTATAAAGGATAGTTTTCGCGGGAATTTTCAGGCGTTACAATCGTTGGGTGCCGCCGCTACCGCGGCGCAACATTACACTTTCAAACTTTCGATCGATTTGTACTCGATATATACAACCGTGAAACAAGATGGGCATCGACTGTGCTTCATCTTTCAAACCGCCTTTTATTTGATTTTGCGGCAATCGTTTCGCGTTGTATATGTACGGCACATTGTTGTGTGAAAATATTAGAAAACGTAACAGAATATCATACTGCATATAAATCGATATATACTTCTGAGTGTGTATATGTATACGTGGCTTGCATGTGTTTTACTTAGTGTTACTGTAGAATATATATACAGGTTAGTAATATATACAGAAGGAACTGTGGATCAGGAACGCCCCTTTTTACGATACGATCGAATTTCTTTCCCGCGCAATTTCTAAGATGTGATGAAACGTCAATAATTGAAAATTTTTCATTACTTAAATTTCTAATTGATGTATGAACTCATTTCTCCTTATTTTATAGTATCATTTTTTAGCAGTATTTTTGTTTATTGAACATTACCATTCTTGTAATGTAATTTTTTTTTTCCGATGTTAATGATCGAAGGAAATAAAGCTTTTATATTAAAGAAAAACAGACAAATATATAATATCCGAATAGTATACTACTTTATTGACAAAAGTATTATTAAATATATGTATATTTATGTGATTATTGTAATGAAATTCGTGTTCAAAGTAGTTGTTAAAGAAGATGTATTTTATATTATTGGGAAAAACATGTGGAAGTAATTGTAGCAAACTATCAGTTTTTCTTACATTTAAACGTGTTTGCTAAAGATAGAATATTACTAAAACAGTTTTGAGTTAGTAGCAGAAGAATATTTTTAGTCAAAGTTCTTGTGTTCCCAGACGAAGTGTGTGTAGGGAACAAATCAATGAATATATAAATAATGTAGCATTAATAAAGTTTAATTTAATCCTTAATCATAATTTAATTTAATCTTTAATCATTCTTATTACTTTTGTATTATTGTAAACATATTTTATTTAATAAAATATTATTTGTTACTGAAAAACTTAATCGTTATTCTTCTTCATAATGTAGGTGTTAACATTTTATGATTGTATATTGTTTCAGGCCATTTAGACATTTCTTTGAAATGTGGTTACGAAGTGAACATGTTAGTAGAAGACTACGTGGTCGTTTAAATATAAACACCGCATCCAGAACTAAAATATCCCATCATAGGCTTCAAGTTAGCAGTTTCCGGAAACTTCCATCTGTTAGCAATAATAATCATCGTATTGACGTACCAAATAAATGCAGCAGACTAACACGATGGAGGCGTAGATGTACCCATTTTTTAAAAGAGGTAGGCAATAAGTTTTATTTAAACATTGAACTTATGTATCTTACATGTATCAGATTTTGCCTTGCCACCATCGAAGACATTGCTGTTCATTTATGATATTTCAAAATATATTATTATCGTTAGCTTATTATAAATGATCTTTGCAGGTCATTTATTAAATCAAACTTCACTGTTTCTATAAAAGAAATACTTTCTAACTAATCACCGGTTAATGAGTGACTGACTAACACAAGGATGTTATACAATTAGATTTCTTAGAACTACAATTGAAGCCATTTGGTTAATATAAGGACTTCAATTCAGTTTTGTTAAAAATCAATTATTATCTTCGTAGGCTTGTAAAGAAAATGTTTTACGTTTTGCGAAGTCTACGCCTAGTAGACGAGAGAGAGGACCTCGTAGAAGGAAATGCATAAAAAGATCAATGGTTACTTCAACTCCGTTACATCGAACTTCCGCAAAAGATGCAGTTAATGTAAGTTATTACAAATCATCAATTATCTTATTATGAATGATTGAAACTATATGATTATAAAATTTATAGCCACCAAAATGTACACCAACACCTAAGGTTTCTGAAGAATCAAAAGAAAACTGGAATACAACTACCTTATCTCTATACTCCTCTGTACTGAATACAGATTCGTGTTATTCTTCTATATCTATAAATGATTTCAAATCTTCAGGCTCAAGTGTATCACCATTATTAAATCTAATGTCTCCAGCACCTGTAGGATCAAATTCAGACCTTTCATATGTATTGGAGGATGAAGAAGACAAAAATATTGGTAAATTACAAAAATAATGAATTAATACTAATTTGTTTTTTCAATGCGTACTTAGGAGATAAATATCGTTTGTTTCAGACACCAGTTCGCTATACTATTCTGCTTCTTGCACACAAACAGAAATAACTGAAGAATGTTATAATTTAATGCATTCTACATCCATGTATGGAACTCGTTCTTACCCATCGGAAAAGTATTTTCCAAACGGAAAATATGCATTTAGCAATAACAATGCGAGTAACAGTCATTTATCAAAAATTCAATATTCTGTTGACAGTCCATCGTCAAAGTATGAATCGGGCTTTGCTAATACAAAATACGCTACAACAACCATGTACAGTTTAAACCATAATCATTCATCCGACACAAACGGGAACGTTACTGAAAAATATGATTCTGATGATATCGAGAGCGATTATCATGATGTCGAGTACATGGAAGTCGGAAGCGAGGAAATAGTAGAAAGTTGTGATATGGAAAATATGGTTACACATGTTCAAGAAGATTGGGAACCATTTGATCCTTATGTCTTCATTAAGCATTTACCACCTTTGACTCCGGCAATGAGAGCCAGATGTCCCGCTCTTCCACTTAAAACACGCAGCAGTCCAGAATTTAGTCTCGTGTTAGATTTGGTAGGTACATTTTTCATTCCCCTAAAAAAAAAAAAAAATGATAAACAATGAAACAGATAAACATATAAAAAGTTATATTGTTATACAGGATGAAACATTAGTGCACTGTAGTCTACAAGAACTTTCGGATGCAGCATTCCGTTTTCCAGTTGTTTTTCAAGATGTAACGTACACAGTGTTCGTAAGAACACGACCGTATTTTCGTGAATTTTTAGAACATGTCTCATCATTGTACGAAGTAATCCTTTTTACCGCGAGTAAACGAGTTTATGCGAACAAGTTAATGAATCTGTTAGATCCAACACGAAAATTGATCAAATATCGTTTGTTCCGAGAACACTGTGTTTGCGTTAATGGAAATTATATCAAGGATCTATCTATCCTTGGTAGAGATTTATCTAAAACTGTTATTATTGATAATAGTCCACAAGCATTTGGATATCAGGTGAGTAATTATATTCAGAAACCGATGTGCACGGCTGATGCTGTTTCGGGTAGTGCAGGCTTGGTCTGAAAAATATAAGCAAACATTAGAAAAATAAACGATCCTTATTTTTACCATATGTTTACATTACAGTTAGAGAATGGTATTCCTATAGAAAGCTGGTTTGCTGATCGTTCAGATAATGAATTAATGAAATTGTTACCTTTCTTAGAAAACTTAGTAAATTGGGTGAGTATTCACGCTTAATTAATTATATAACACAATATAATATAACATGTAAATTAATGATGTTACAGGGAGGAGATGTTAGACCACGTATTAGAGAACAGTTCCGACTTTTCAGTTTTTTACCACCGGATTAATTTAGTGAGCACAAACTTAACGTAATCGAAGTACTAGCCTGCGTAGGTATGTACGTGTATGTATATTTATAGGTATTAAATACATAAACGTAAGATATTGACGCAGAGCGTGTAAAACACACGCTAAAATCGTATACAATTTGCAATATTTTTTATTGAATAATTTTACATTCAGTAAAAAAAAAAAAAAGAAAAGAAAAAAATGAAAATGATTAAAAATCAAAACAGTTGCTATTACAAAGTTCTAAATTATAATTATAGTTCTATTTGTACAAAACAAATAATTAAGTTTTTGTATATTCATTTCAAAATGATTTCTTACAAGATCAATATTAAAAATATTATTTCATGTTCTAACATGGTTAAAGAAAAAATATCACAAGTTAGTAGATACTATAATTCGTATCAAATTTTGGGCAGGTACCAATTAATTAAAGTAATAAGTAATGAAAATATATGACTTTATGAATTATATACAGACCAATCAAGATTTAATATTAATAATTACGAGGGCTATGTGTTGCGCGAGTAGTTATTATGAATACTTTAATTCAAATTGTTCAAAAACTAGCTCATGTGTTTATTGTTAAATTTCTCTAAGAAAAAGATGAAATTATAATATGTTTCAGGTATCTCTCAATTTACATAGAATTAATACTAGTTGCAAAATATAAACATAATATAGAGTACATATATATTTATGCATAATATTAAATTGAGAGGTTCCTGAATCACGTTTTCATTAAAATCTTTATTTTCCATTATGAATACTATATCGTTAGCAATATCCGACATTTATGTAACTCATTTAGTTTGTATATAAAAACACAAATTACATAAAAAATCAAACATACGTACATATTCAATTTTATCTTATTGTTCGAAAACTCGGAATTGATTAATTAAACTGGTTTTTGTTGAAGTTAACAAAATCAATAACCGATTACTGTTCGATTGTACAACTGATCATAATATCTGTTATATACAAAAATATGCAAAATACTTAATACATCTACTAATTATAGTGTAAGCTAAGAAACACAAAATGAAATTATTACAATAGTTAATACAACTATTTGTCCCTCAAAATAGTAAAGTTTATTAAAAACAAACAAAATATACTCATAGAATAAATATAGATAAAAGGTGAACAAAATGAAAACTTCCAATTGTAATTAAATTTCTTTCTCGCCAGTTTTTACTTCTATTCATAGTGTCTTCATAGCAGAAATCATATCTATTAATAATATAAAAGGTAAAAAATAGAATTATTGAACTCGTACCTTCAGTACAAAGATATCTTTTGTATCAATTATAATTAATTATTTCGATTTTATTTAAATTTTGATAAACTTTTTCGCACAAGTAAATGAATGTTTTGTCATATCTTTCTAACTTCGAAAATGGAAAATATTATTATCAGTTATATAATTGTCATTTTGCTAATAATTGTTAAACGTTTTTTACTGTATAAATACGAACACTTAAAGAATCTCCCGAAGAGATACAAAGTCTTGTATTCAAGGTTTCTTATTACAGATAACTACGATCTCAGTCTAATTACCTTTAATCAGTACTATTAAAACGATAGGCGTTAAAATGTTTGGTTGAGCACTATAAGTATAAATCAGTGTAGATTACGAATTGTTCAGTGCATATATATGTATTAACAGTTTCTTAATTACGAATATATATATTGATATGTGCGTATCTGTATAAGCGTGCGTGTGACAACTGTATACATTATATTCCGCTACACCCATTAAAATTTATAAACTTGCGTGTAATTCATAACCAGAGGTTTATATTAAAATGAAGCATTCATACGAAGTAATGTAGTAAAAGCGTAAGCAGTTTATAGTTTTTGCTATATTTCAAGATCGTATCTATGCATTCGTTCACGTCACGAGTTTACAGATGTGTAAAATCAATTTTATTGCCAAAAAAAGAAGCGTAAACGTATTCAAATTTTCAATACTGGGCATAAATTTATTGCGTTTCTTGTAAAATGTTAATAAGATCCGTGTCTAAAGAAACCTGTTAATTTGCAAGATCAGACTTAACGAAGCTAATTATTTTAACTTTGTACGAGTGTACTGTGTGAAAATTGAAACGAGTTCAGTGTTTCAGTTCTGTCATTACAAAATACTACGTGTATTTTTCTTTTCATGCAATAATTTCTTAGTTTTAATGTATAAAGAATTAAAAGTTGCTTTCATTTAGAATTATAAAACTGTATCCCCGTGTATATTGCAACAGTAACTTTCATAGACATAGCATTTGTTATTGAAAGGTACTATAAAAGAATAAAAATTACAATAGATAGACTACGTGAGAAAAATACATGCTTGTTATACATGAAACAAGTGTTTATGTTATTAATTCTTTATTTATCATTTAACGATGAATATGTTCGGATTTGAATTGTTATAAGATGAATGCTTTATTTAATGACATTCCTGTACTTAAAAATATAAAAAACACTTCAGTTTATAGATAAACCAAAGTAAGTTTACATTCTAATAAAGCATACAGATTTTAATCAAAATTTAATATTATCATAGTGTTATCGTAACTAAACGCTGGAGACAAGAAATATGTAACAGACATAGTACAGTAATTGTGAAGAAATGTATCAGCATTAAATATTTACTTTGCGTTCAGTTTTTTTAGAAAATAAAATTGTTTGAACATTTTTCTAATAATTTATATTTAATTTAATTTAAGAGTAATCGTGTACAACATACCATTACATTATTTTACATACAATTTTTAAAAATACATTACAATTTCGCAGAGTAAAAAATTTTATGTAAAACTGACTAGGAAAATAGTAAAACATGATCGTATTATTATAAAAACTTATGTAACATTAGTGTGCATTAGAAATTGATGCACCTTAGAAATGATATACATATTTTATACAGAAAAATATAAATTAAATCGTTTATATAGTTAGTAGAGAATCTGAATTAAAATAAAATTAAAGAGATAAATAAATGATTTATAACTATGTACAAAATATTGATAAAAAAAGAAATACTTGTAGATTTACGCCATATAGCTGTTAACGCCACTTAACATCAGAATGGCTATTATTGTACATAATTCTTCTGAAGGATTTAGTTAAGTCAGAAATTAAATGCTGATAAACAGGTACGCTGAGAGTAACTATCCTTGAAGAAATGAACAAAAATCACATAATATTTTTCGAAATCTTTCTGTAAGATATCTAATTTACGAATACCTTTCATCGGTTACGGATCCCTGCCGTTTTCGGGAAATATACATTTGGAAATCTCCAAAGTAGTGTTACTTAATTCTCGCCTCCAACATTTTGTTACTTTATTTGACCCCTATCGTTTGAGGAGAAAATATGCTGAAAAATGTCACGTGCATGTATTATGAATAATACATTCAACTATACTTCATATTCAACATTAATATAATTTGCATATTCAACAGCTACAACAAGATAATTGTATTAATACCTATTTAACTTCTATGCTATTTACTACCCTCCCAAACTCGGACTTCGGATGTATCGAATATGTACTAAATCTTGCACATTTATAATGTACAATGGACATAATATCTTCATAAAATTCGTCAATTAATAAAAATTTTCTACATTATTTAGAGTCATTTAGACGATACTACACATTTTCGTTTTGATGTGTTTGCTTTTATCTATATCCATCTTACATGCATAACAGAGGAACTTAACATCAGTACATTCAGCATATCTGATTTCAACATATCCGAAGTCCGAGTGTAATTCGTCCTAATCTTCCGAACGTTTGAAATACCTAGTCTCAATACGTTCACAGAGATGTACTAGCAGCGGATAGCTTCGGACAATACTCGCCAGTTTATTACCAGGTAGAGGTGTCGTGAGTATTGTAAAAATGTGTCCAAACACTAAGGCGTCCAATTCATTAGGTGTCCTAAATAATAATTAAATGATAGAATAATTAACCACGTAGTTGAAAAAAAAAATAAATATATTTTATGTATTGAAATCACGATACGAAATACAATGAATATTGAAAAAATTATAATTCAAAAGAATCTTCTGAAAGTGGTGGCAATGCTTCAAAGGATTCAGTGGAATTCCACAAAGTCTCCTTGGAGGGACATTCGAATACTTCAAAGTCATGAGTTGATTCAGTTGTACCAAGACTCAAATATTTTTGTCTAATTCTTGATGCGTGTTCAAGAAGTCTAGGAAACTGTTGCACAGTTGTTGTGATCTTTTGTACAGACTTAGGAAGATGGGAATTGGTAAGGACATGTATATGACCACACGCAAGAGCATCTAGTTCAGTTGGTCTTCAAAATTTAAAAGAAACATTATTAATATTGTTTCTATTAAATTTTACTTTAAAAAAATGAATGTAGAATTTCTATAAATAATATAATATGTACTTACTCTTCCCCAGAGAAATATTCGTTATTCTCCAGTCTCTCAGATAATATTGTACAACAATTTTTGACTTCACCACATACTTCTTCCACAGTTTTATTATACCAACCAAGTACATTTAGCTTTTTTATGACCTCCTTTCTTTTTTGCCAGTTTAAAAAATGATTCAAGGGCCAAGGATAGACGCTACCATGCCTTGGTTTAGTCACTTCATTTAGAGTTGCTTCATCAACCCAACAAATATACAATTCAGCATTAAAGAATACATTATCTACTAGTGACATGTAGGCTCTCATGTCTGATTTACATGTTGGGGACAAATGTTCTGATAAACTTATGCCTTTATTTCCCATGAATGACACAATATTGTCAAATTCAGATATTATGAATGCTCCACATTTTATGAATGGTACACGCCCAGAAGGAGACATGTATTCTGCATTGCTTCTGGTTTCTAATTGAAACTCAACATTGCACATTCTAAGAAAAGCCTGAACAGCTAAACAATTTGCATTGTCAGGTAATAATATCTGTTCAACATCATAAGGCTGATATAAGGTAATTTGTTGAGGCCATGGATCTTGGGCTAAACAAGAAAATATTTTATTTTGGTAAGCTTAAAAAATGTATTTTATGTTTATATTGTCATCAGAATGTCATAGAATAAAAAACTAAAAGTAACATACGAATATATTAAGAAAGACATAATATGTATAAAAGTAACAAGTACAGGTTAAGTTTGGTGTAAGTTATAAGTAGAATTCAAAGTACTTTTTAAATGTAAATTATGAATTACCTTCTAATCCTAAAGTAATAGAATCTCCTAACAGAGTCTCAGGCATTTTATTTAATTAACTGTGATGCTAACAACAGTGAAAATTTAAAGCTTTCTTACTAATGTATTTCGGACAAAACAAACGAGCGGTGAACCGGGAAAGTAATTTTTATCTTTATATTTTCCTGAAACAAAAATCAGTATATTAATTCAATAATTTGATGATATATTGCACTGCAATTTGCGTATCTGTATTAAATAAGTTCATTTGTTTATTAGTAATTGTTAGTAAATTTTAGCATCATTAATATACTTGATTATGATGTATCAAATTGAAATTTGTGTTATGTTATCTACTAAGAATTAAATTTATTATATAATATTCTAATTAAATAATATTTTCTTTTTATTGAACCTGCAATAATACATAATATTTTTAAAAGAAATTTCTTTCAAACATCAGACGAGTTTCCGCGCCGGAAACGACCAACACGATTCTGCGTGAGAGCTAGTGCGCGGTAAACAGCAGTCTCTTTCTCTTTTAAACACAGCAAGATGTCGAAGAGAGGTAAGTTGTTTTCAAAGATGACGAGGAATCTAAAGAAATCCGTGTAAAAATAAGTTATGTATTCGAAATGAGATACGCGAACGTTGAACAAATGTTTGGGGTGGACAACAATGGAAAAAGTTTTTGTTTAATAATGATGCAAGTTGGAAAAATTGATGATTGTATTGGAGACAAATACCGTGTCGGACGTGTCCGCTGATAGCAACAATTAACATGAAATTATTATTCTTTAAGGACGTGGTGGTTCAGCCGGAGCAAAATTTAGGATATCACTGGGTTTACCAGTTGGTGCAGTTATAAATTGTGCCGATAATACTGGTAAGTGTTTGAAAAAAAACTAATATATAACCTTAAAAATGAATCATGTTATGGTTGGGATTATCACATGGTTGGCGGTTGTCATTTCAATTAATTTATAAGTAAATTATATTATGCTAATAATCCTAAATGCAAATTACTTATAGTATTGAAAACATTTAATACAACCTTATAGGTGAATTCTAGCAGGCAATATTTTAATCACTTATAAAAAATTCAAACAGATCTTCAAATTGAAGCGTCCATGTTATTTTCGTTACCGCAATTTAAGATGGTTTCATATACCTGTGAAAATAATGTAGATTATTTGATATTCAAATCAAAATAATAACAGTTTAGATATTTTATTATGTAGTAAATGTTTTTTATTTTATGTAGGTGCCAAAAATTTATATGTCATCGCAGTCCAAGGTATTAAAGGCAGACTAAATCGTCTGCCGGCAGCTGGCTCAGGTGACATGATCGTTGCTACTGTTAAAAAGGGAAAACCTGAACTTAGGAAAAAGGGTAATTATCAGAATTAAATATATTATGTATCGAATATTTTATAGCATCGGTATAAATTAATATGTATGCAAATAAAAATTGTTTTCGTTTTTTACCTAGTTATGCCCGCGGTAGTAATACGGCAACGGAAACCGTTTCGAAGGAAGGATGGAGTTTTTATATACTTTGAAGATAATGCAGGAGTTATTGTGAATAATAAAGGTGAAATGAAGGGATCAGCTATTACAGGACCTGTTGCAAAGGAGTGTGCAGATTTGTGGCCCAGGATTGCATCCAATGCTAGCAGTATCGCTTAAACATTCTCTATAAATTTATTGTCCTTAATAAAATACATTTGAGCATTTGCTCAATACTTTTTCCTGTATCTTTTTCTTTATAATTTTCCTTTACAGTGGTCATTTGTCATATCCCGTCACACCGTCGGCAGGTTAAAAGGTAGAAATACTTAAAATATTTACTCTTACATCGTACTGAACAATTAATTTATGTATAATTATTATTTTATTAGATGATGGAAAAGTAAGATAGAAGCGAATGTATATGCACGCATTGCAGTGCATAAGAATTGAAGTAAAAATCAATCAAACGAAATTAATTAGAAATAATCGACGAAATAGTAAGAATACTTTATTTTAAAGTATTAACCAGCTGTAAATCACTGTACATTTAAAACTTGTGTCAACAGGATAAGACAAAGGATAGTAAGTTTTGACGTGCATTTAATGAGTACTTACTATAATTAAGAGATGTTCAAGAAGGTAGAATTCGACCTCAAACAAATCAGTCGTTCTTTGGCATTGGAGGAGAGAGAAGTTCTGCTTCGCTATGTATACTTGCTTTCATAATCATCTCTACGTCCGAAATAGATGAAGACGTATTTGAAGTAGTTCCATAGAGATCTTCATCTGCGATGCGGACGATTATTTTTCGTATTTCACTTTTTAATCTAGCTTTATTAAAGTCTGATTTTAATGCTTTTAATTCCAACGCAACGTATTGTCCAAATTTATCATAATCGTCAGGTTGTTTTACAATCGTTTCGAATGCCAACTTGAACAATTGATCCCTAATATTATCATCTTCGTGTTTACGCTTTTTCTGTGTCGGCAGTATTCTCTTCTCTTCCTCTTCGCTTTCTGCATCCTTATCGACTGCATATTTCTCTGCCTCGGTTCTTTCGAGCTGAAAAAAAATTTTTATGTCAGTGATTTATAGTAAAGTACAATTAGTCATTGTTATTGACACTCAGCAATGCCAGTTGGTTGATTAGAATTATTATAAATTCTTTTCTTAATTCAGTACGACTTATTCAATAACAGAAATAATCATACATAAACTATTTCAGCTTACAATAGACGCTGATGCCTGTACGAGTGAGGACTGCGTCATATTTGTACAAAGTACAGGAATTAAAAACTTTAAAGCAGAAAAGTATGGCCAGTTAGAAACGTCTGTCTCAGCCGATCCATTCCTGTCTTTCTTTTTTATCATCTTTCTTAATTCTTGTGACATCTGAAATTTAAATAGTTAGTTAGGTATGTTTGATTGATTTTTATCTACTTTATTACATTTTATACACCTGGTTTCTTAAATTATGCAATTTTCGTTGTATCTCCTCCGATGAACATCGAAATTTTACTGCTATTTCATGTATTGTTTTATTCTTTCTATCTCTGTTTCTATATTCGCTGTCTTTTAGGTTCCATAGCATTGAATTCTTCTTATAAATACTGATCAGGCTGAAGGTCTCCTCTCTTGACCATTCCTTTCGTGCGGTCATTTTCAAGAGATTGCTGTATTCAAAAATTCAACTTGTGCACCAGCGATCGCTTCTGAACCTAGTTCGTATTTCGAGAGTAGCTCTCTGATAGTATTATGATGTCTCAATTTCAAAGCAAGTTCCCACAGAACTGCTCTCTGAGAGGAATCATGCTCTCTGACAGTCACTCTCGGACACACTATTCACTTGTGAGAAGTACTCTCAATAGCTTTTTACTTGTTTTATTTTAAAATGGACTAGCACCTTTGAGGTACGTTTTCACAAGGCCTGTAATCTAATTGGAATATGAATTATTCCAGAAAAAGCAGTTGCAAGTGGAGGAAGACAAGATTTAAGACAGGTTTCACTAACCTCAAATCATCAGTACGTTCAGAATAAACTTTTTTTGTATGAAATACCTTTAATTTTAAAATTGTAATTCATCTGTATTAAAGATTAATAAAGCTATTTTATTTGTTTTAATTCTCATTGTGTGATTAAATTATTTACATATATTCTTGATTATCATCCGAGTATAGTCGATAAGTTGTTATCATCAATTGCAGTCGGTAAGTTGATTTTTTGACGATATACCTCTTCGCACATTCTCTGATCCTATTACCAGGAGTAGATTTCAAACCGTAGGTTTCCCCCACCATGCCACCCCCAGCAACGTACTGCGGTGGTTTCTGTGCCACCTACTTTCATTTTGATGTGCTCCCGATACCCGGACACTTGGGGTTTCTAGAACCCCAGGTGGCTGTAAATGCAGTCCTCAATTGGGTGTACGCGGGGTCCTAGACACCCCAGTCGAACGCACGCGGGGTTTCTAGAACCCCAGGTGCCTGTAAATGCAGTCTTTAATACAGTGCATGCGGGGTCCTAGACACCCCAGTCGATCGCGCTTGGGGTTTCGAGGACCCCTGACGCAAACTACTGCGCAACTAATTCTGCGCAAACTACGGCGCAACCAGTTCTGCGCAAACTACTGCGCATCTAGTTCTGCTCATACGCGCGGCAATCTACTGCGCATCCTGTTCTGCGCAGATTTCTGTGCCACCTACTTCCATTTTGATGTGCTCCTGATACCCGGATACAGGGTCTACATTTTTTGCAAATTTCTAAGCTTGTAGATTGTTAATCCGCACAAAATTGGTATCAATAGATTGGTTAAAGTCTGCTCTATCTTCTAAAATTATAAAAGTTCATAAAATGTGTCGGATTTACAAGAAATTAATGAGAAAAGTTGCAGTAAGCTACAATGAAAAGTCGAACTGAAATAATGATTAATTATTGCGTCTAAACGCTACAAATGTTCACAAAACTTATATTAGAAATTCAAATAAACCTTACTCATTCTAAAACAGTCATAAAAGTGCAGAAAATGTTCCTAATAATTGAGAAATTAATGAAAATTAGGAGGTTCGATATGCGGCAATGTGGTGTTTACAAGAATCGATGTTTACTAAATATTTACGCATCAAATGTTACTAAAAATGATTAAAGAATGTAGTTTGAACCTTTCTCTTTCTTCTCTGATGACAAAGTGTCATAAATTGTTGCTATGTACTGTAAAATTAATAAAATTTAGAGTGTCGGCATGTTGATATGTGTCGCAATATAGTGGCTATAAGAATCGATATTTATTAAATAATAACGCACCAAATGTTACTGAAAATGATTAAAGAATGTAGTTGGAACCTTTCTCTTTCTTCTTCGATCTTAAAGAGTTATAAATTGTTGCTATTTACGGTAAAATTAATGAAAATTCGGTGGGTGTTTAATGAGACGTGTAGCTATATCATTACTACAAAAATGACTAATAACTGAGTAATTACAGCAAAGATATGCACAAAGTTGGTATGAGAAAATTGCGCAGACATTATTCTTTATGAATCAATTGTAAGAATGAACTTTTCATTAGCCGTTAATGAGCAATTAACGATTTTTGTGTATCCTGTATAACCTGTACATTTTCCGCGAGTCTACTGCGCAGGTGGTTCTGCGCATATGCGCAAGGCGCCACTGCGCATGCGCGAATCGTGCCACCTCTTTGCACATCCTATATTCCTGATACCAGGAGTATAATTTGAACCGTAGGTTCTCCCACTCCGCCTACCCAAGAATCGTGCGACCTCTTTGCACATTCTGTAATCCTATTACCAGGAGTAGATTTCAAACCGTAGTTTCCCCCACCATACCTCCCCTGAAATAGCGTAACCTCTTTGCGCATTCTGTTATCCTATTACTAGGAGCAGTTTTTGGAGTTAAATTCATAGGCGCTTCTATGCACATATTCTCGCAATGATAATTTAAATATGTAACAGTCCGAAATGTACTGAATACTTAATTACTTTCAAATGACGTTTTTTATATAATAAAATAATAATTAAAGCATGAAAATAAAATAACAAATAGAGTATTTTTTTTTTAATTAACGATATATTTCTAAAAATCAGGATTAACAAGGAATCGTATTCATTTCATTATTTTCTTCAATACGTAACAGAAATTTTAATATTAAAAAACAATAAAATTCATTGAACTTTAAAATCGTTGCAAGCATTGCAATTAAAATAACAGTACGATAAAAAAAATTTACATTTCGCTTTGGCGTTTGCCAATTAATTTTACAACACCAACAGAATATTATTATTACTCGATAATTAAACTATCTAGCTGATTCCTCGAAGTATAAGATAATCAAGGGATCCAGGTACAACAATATAATTCAATGAAAACAATAACAAATACATATATTTCTCGAAATGTGATACATTTTTGACGTTGGGTGGTCGTATTTAATTCTCACGTGTACTGTTTTTCGTTTTCGAATGGATCGGATGGCGTGTCTCATCTTTTATCTTTCCATAATTACGTACTCTTTTTTTTTTTTAAATCCCTATCATTTAATTTTTTTACATTTTTTGCAACTTTTCTTCGTTTTGTCATTCGTCGATTAAATTCTAATTTGGAGCAAAGCTGTCGGTTGCGTCTACCTTTGTGTGTGTGTGTGTGTGTGTGTGTGTGTGTATGTGTGTTTTTTCTATATTCTTTTTCTTTTTTTTCTACGATCTTCTTTACAACGTATCGTTTTTTACTATCCACGGACTGCGTGTAACGAACGCGCGCGCTTGTTTCTTTAAATGATTCTTTTTATATTTTACATCGTGTCATTTGAAAACATGCTACTCCGCCGCTTCTCGTTTGACAATTACGGTGTTAAACAGTGATCCGAATGATCGGCCGCTTAGTACGCTACGACATGTTTAATTAATAGCAACTTGTACTAGAAGGTACTTAGAAATATTCGAGAAACGTGAATCAATGTACTCTCTCTCGATTATTCACACACGACTGCCAGCGTAGCGATCGAATATAAATTAGATAAAGAAATATCTGACTTTATCGTTTCTCTATAATAACGCTATTGATCGGCGGTTTACGATTGCTGATGATATAAAAGATTTTCATACGTTTGTCCTACGCGCGTGTATAGAGATACATTTGTTCGTTTGATTACGGACACGACGCGTTTAAGATACCTTTCATACAATGTTCTTCGATATTACACAATGTGTATTTTGTCTATGTTAAAATTAGGCTGGCTGTATGCCAAAGAGCGGTGTGTCTTGTATAGATCATTAACACGTTGATTGCCATAAGTATACTTACATACGTTATTACCTTTACAGAAAGTTCAATTGAGGAACGAATTTTGAATATCCATTAACCCATTAACTGCCAAATTTTTATTTCACATTTTATTTAATATAATCCTATTGCAAGTGATAAAAAAAAATATATATATATATATTCAAATCCCTATTTGGGGATCGTGGTAGCAAATGGGTTAAAATTACAGTGTACATATCGTTTCAAGTGAAAGAGTTAATATTTTGAATTAAACTGAAGTACAATTTCTATAATACTTATGGCAGTGAACGTGTTTGAACGATGAATGCGGATCGTCGATGTTGCGAGATGATTTCTTGCATATTGCGTTCTCTTTGTCAATCGCCTTGCTTTTGTCACGTGTCGTTGCTTACAATAAACTGGTATTTAGCAACAGTCACAAATCGAGCTTACAACGAGTCTCTTTGTCTCGCATGTTGTTTGATTTTTGGTTACGTACAGTATTAATAACAATGATTTTTTTTTGTCTTTCGTTCGTGATCAATCAAAAGGGGCTGAGGAATACGTTCGAACGAATTCTGAAGTCGCTTCGTTAAAAGTGAAATCATAAAAATGAGATACAAGAATCAATTTGTATGATTTTACTTGCGACGTTGAAATCCGTTTGCTTATAACTATCAACTTATGTAAAAAGGAAAAAAGAATGAAAAATTTCAAATTATACAACATACGTAAAATCTTGAAAAAAAAAAAAAGAAAATATATGTATATGATAACAATGCGTAAAACGATTTCCATAACGTCGACCGTGAGATTAATTACATATGGATCTGTATCCAACTAAAAATTTACAATCGTAAAGTACGTATACATATTTTATCTAATTGTAAATAGAACTCTGATGCGTGATCACAAATAAAACAAGAGAAAAGAATCCTACGGACACGTTTCGAGTACGAACAAAATATACGAATGTCGAATTGTTTCTTTAACGAGACGATACTCCTCAATTAAAACGATGGTTTGTATAAAAACAGTTAAAAGCGAATCTGTCATTGACAAGGCCTTCTATAAAATTAATTTCTTTGTGTACGTCTACAAATATACATGTACATGTATGTGTGTATATATATATATGTATATAACAATATTTAATAAGCTCTTCGAGAATTCATAATGTCAAGGGGTTTTAGGGAAACCGATCGAAATGATAAAACAATAATCAATTGTGTAAACAATCGATAACAAGCGTATCGTAAAAGACCTTTTTTTTCTCTCTACCGGGAACATACTCTTAATTGTCGATTTTACGTCGCAAAAAGTCGCTAAAAAACATATATGTATATATAATTATACTCGATTATTGTCATTGAGCGTTGCAACGAGCAGAATCGCTTATTTAAACGCATCAACAGGTATGTAAAATATTAATCGCGTGTATTATCCATGAAAGGCGCACCAGTGGATTTCGCTCATCGTTAGAGTTTTTTTTTCCCTTTACATTCGAATTCATGTGACAAGAGGAAACAACTACGAATAGAGAATACCGCGTGTATAACATTTTCTGTTCTGCTAAGGATGGAGCAGCCCCCTCTTGGTGCACGATTCTTGTCGTGGCGTCGGTTAACAATAGAGCTGACAGTATCGTTTTGCTTCTCTTTTCGATAAAATGTACTTTCTTTTTATCATCGAATGAACTTGAAATTCTATTTCGCGATCTCTCCTAATCGCTCTAAAAAAAAAAAAAAAAAAAAATTACAATGATCAATGCAGCGATACCTTGAATCGGCGTGGGCAACTAATATTAGTACGGTTTCCTTATTCAAGTATTTACAAAAAAAGGTTGATTAAAAATTCATTGTCGGACGAGCCATCGACCATTGAAGCGCGACGAAACGATAATAAAGGGACGCGTCGCGACGCTTTTCCCGCACTTTCAATTTGCTTCAAGCAAATCGTACGATAAAGAGAGAGATAAAACGTTACGTATGAAAAAGAAAAAAAGAAGCACATGATCTACCTTACGATAAAAACAACTAGAATCACTTGTGTACCATCACCACTTGTGGGATACGCTACGGTAATTAACGTTTCTTAGAGAACTAGGGACCTAGTCCGTGCGCAGAAAAGCGTCGTTCTCCCAAGTATCCTTTCGCTTGTTAATTTAATTCATCGATTCTACCTTCCCCCGTCTTCCTCCAGTGTTACACACGTTTCCCCGCTCGCATTCAATTTCGTTGATTTCTCATTTATACGATCGATCAAAACAACCAAACGGTGATTATTCGATGAGCCAAGAAAACGGTAAATATTTTTTTTTTTAAAACGTGCACGGTCCGACGACGGAGTCACGCGAAGGTACAATAATGCTAGTTACTGTACTCGACGATGTCGTCCAGGAATCTCTTCGAGTATTCCTCCCGAACGAATAGCGTTCAACGATTAGACTGACGGAAGAGGGAGGAAGGCGGATAACGCAACGAGAAAAAACGTTAGACCAACACGGTCTATCTACGATCAGATGTGGAGTTCGCGTTGTACAATAACCAAATAGAAGCTCGAGAACTAGCGCGGGTGGCTAGGCGGCCGCTTCAGGAGCGTTCGCGACCGTTTTCCTTTCAACCAGACGATCGTTTTATACACGCGCCTGTCTGTGCTTACATCTTCGTACATTATTCGCTTATTACTCTAATCAGCTCCAGCCCGGTTTACGAGACGGTTGTGCGCGTGCCAGAGACGTTTGAATTTGCTACGCGTTTTCCACTCGGCTGTTTGATGTATTCCTTCGGAGAAACCGGAAAAGAAATAGAAACTTGCATCCTCCTTTGTAACAAATCTTTTCCTTGTTCCTTCTAACAGAGAAGTTCTTCGAACACGACTATAATTAACGTTTCAACAGGTCGAAAAAGAAAAAAAATAAAAGATGTCTCGTAGGGAACAATTGGTACCACGTTCATCTGGCATGCATACAAACGTCTACGTTTGCGGTTCCGCGTGTATACGTGTATGCCTGACTGACTATGTATATAGATATATACGTATTACGTGTATGCTGGATAATGCGTAGCAGCGAACGATATACCCGACCGGTTACACACCTCTGGCATTTTATACGCGTATATTCTCTGTACATACACGTGTGCATGCGGGTTGCGCGCTTACAGGCGCTCTAACAAACTCGACCATTTACAGACATACGTACACGCGCTCGTGTATGTATGCATGTATACATATATATATAATCTAACTATACATATAACTATGTACACTTTTCTTTATCCGGAGAGAAGATGGGGGCGAGTGGGAAAGGAGACGAAGGATTCAGGCAGAAGGGGTTAAAACAGGATCAACGTTAGGTATGCGCGGTGTTGGTGGTTTAGGAATAAGGAATAAGGAATAAAGGAAGAAGGAAGAAGGAGAACGAGATGAATGAATAGCAAAACCTCTCTCGAAGGATATCTCTGCGAAGGGAATCCTGTAAGGAAAAGTAAGCTGTTCGATTAAAATTCGTGGAGATGACTTTGTGATTCGGCGGACGCGCTCCTTCCTTTCCTCTTCCAATATATACTTTTTTTTTTTTTTCATTTCATTTCTTTTCTTCCGGACTGACGAAAACCTAAGTGCTCTGCGACTATAAAGTGTGGGAGGAGCTGGCACAACAAACGCTCGTGTCTGCATCTTTTTTAATACCACGACGAGTTGTTGCTTCCTCGGCGTACTGTTAGACGTCCGTGTATTTGCTCAGCTTGTCGCGTAACAGCATGTTCTCGTTCTTTAACCGGTCCAGCTCCTGTCGGAGGCCCATGTTCTGAAAGACGAACAGTACAAATCAGTTTGGCGAAGATATTCGATATCGTACAGAATCCTATGAAAGGCTCGATCGTTTCTTTTGAAAAATAACATTGTAACAACGATAGAATTTGAAAAAAGGAGAAAAAAAAAAGAATACACCATCGACGTGCTCTATCGGGACTGTAGAATGTACTTTTCGTTTGGCTGTCACGACGGATATCACTGGGTACAATGGAAAAGAAAATAAATTTAGAATTTCGTTGTAACGCGCGTGTCTTTAATTTTAGAGGCGTGGGAAGATTTACTTCTTTCTCGAGGAAGCCGGCCCTGAGAGCGATCTGGTTCTCCTTCATGCGACGCGCGTCCCGTGATCGTTTCGCTGCCATGTTATTCTTCCTACGACGCGCCCAGTATTTGTCATCCTTCAGGTCATCCGGAACGAACTGTAGCCGGCAATGGACCACAGAGAAAAAACATAAAGAGAAATTAGTTCGGAAAAGAAACAGAGCCGCGATACACGAGCGATTTTCTTTTCAATCTTAAGCAACGAAATGGCTCTGGAGGAAAGTGGATAAGTTTCTGAAAACGATAATGAACAGTTCCAGAGGATTGAGGAGAATCAACTGACCTGCTTTCGTGATTTCTTGATCATCGGTTGGGGTTTCAGCTCCTCGTCCGAGAAGGCCCGGGTGCGTGGATCGAAATCTCGCCCCGATGAGGCCATCGAGAGCGCTACAAAAACACAAGCCATATTATATACGAATCCTTGAAAATAATATAAAATTATTCTTGAAACAGGTAAGAAAGAAACATCTCCTTTCATAGCGAGAGACAAAGATATGACCCTTTAATTCTTTGTCCAGAAGTAAGCTGACTCGTACGTTTCCCTCGAATAGATCTTCTCTTCGACGCCTATTCTTTATTTTTAACCGGTCAAGAATAGACGTTAGTCTTTAAGAATGTTCAACTTCCACGCGCTATGCTTGCTTTCGAGGGGTAAAAAAAATTTAATAAACTCGTTATCGCGACAGGGTAGGGAAGGGTGTACTTACTGGAGTCCGCGGGCGAGGGAGGGTTCATCGTGTCAGGTGAGCAACATTCGCTCGGCGAGGGTGATCTCTCGCGTTTGGTGACTGGTTCTAAATGAAGACCAGCTGGTCCTTGGTGCCCTGGTGTCTCGGTGTTGTTCAACTTGTGCAGTTGTCCACTCTGCATCGTACCCTGTCCACCGCCAGCCACACCGTCCACAGGAATGCCGTTCTCGGAGAGAAACTCGTCAAGATCCACGTACTGCAAACAAAACATCCTCGTCTTTTTTCCCTCATTTTTTATTTCCATCTCCTTTGATGCACCGATCATTGATCGCTTCTTGCGATCACACTCCATTTATTTTCTAACAACAAATTAATGATTCAAGCTCGTTTCTTCGAAGGAATCTGTATTCTTAAACAAATGTGTTCCTGTTTCAAAAAAAAAAAAAAATAAAAGCAGAGAAATAATGAATAAACAAGAAAGATTCTAAGTAGAAGCTACGAATTTGATTATATCCTTGGATCCACGTGTTTTTTTTTTTTTTTTTCGGGATCCATGTTCAGCCAGGTTGTGAGCTTACCGTATCGCGTTTTTATACATACATGGTTCAATACCTTCAGGTCGGCATCGTAGGGCAGAGTTTTGTCCCAAAGATTTGGGCCGAGGAAGGCGGCCTGCGCTTCCACGTTGCCCCATAACTCTCCATCCGCGTCCTTCTTCTCTTCCGGTCCATCTTTACCTTGTTTTCCTGGAAAATAAAAATCATCGATCTGTTAGAAAACTCGAGGTAATCACCTTTAATATTAACATCCTGAAAATATGAAAAATTTGGAGTATTCATTGGATCGCGAGCGTGCCGGTAATCGCGAGCAATAATTCAAAGAGGAATGGCAGCGAGGTATATGAATATTAAAATTACGTTCGTTGAAATCTATCAGAGTGTGGCAGCGACGCGACCTCGTCGCCGGTACGCGGTGTACCATGATAATAACCATTGAATGCGGTTTTGTCGCATTCGTTCGTTGGAATAAAAAAAATTGCAGAAAAATTGAAAAAAAAAAGAAGAAAAAAAAAACACTGTTCTCCGTATTTCCATCATTTTACCCGACGAGAAGATTAACAGTTTCCTGATAAGCATGTCGCGTAATTAGAGACATTATTTTTAATTAAAAAATGAACTAGACGAACGGTGTCTAGAAGACCAAGGACATAATTGGTCGTTGTTTGAACGGAATCACGATTCGCGTGGTTGTTGAGGAGAAAAAAAAAACGCGGAAGGAACGCGGCAAAACGAGAAGAAGAAGAAGAAGAAGAAGAAGAAGAAGCGGATGGTCGGGTCCGGCTCACTATTTTTGGAGGAGCATCTTCACCAAGGCCATCGAGCGATCCGCAAAGATCTTTTTCTTTTCTTCCACGAAGTGATTTCTGATGGCCAACGAAAGGCTTCCGACATCGTGCGAAAGAAAAATAGAGAAAGAAAAAGGTGCAAAGGAAGTATGTCATCGCGTATTCCAAGGCTCTCGGGGATCCTACGATAGTCGAAACTGAAAGAGATTCTTCACTGAAAGAAACGATCATTTCTTAGGAATAATGAGTGTTATTAACGGTGTACGAAAGTTGGAAGACTCGTCGGGAATAACGCTGGTTGTTCTATCATTTCAATGTGCTCCTCTGTTCAAAACGGTTAGAATAAAGCGTCCATCCATTAGAAATCGTTTAATTAAAAATTCAATTAAATTAGGAGCTCGACTCGAGTCATAAAATTGATAGTTGAATTTCCGGAATTGGAATGATACTAAGTCGACACTAGATCGATGCTGATTTTTTCATACATTCCTTCCCATCGCTACTAATAACCATACTACGTCGGGTGTTCAACGTGCACGCCAGCTAAACAACTAAACAACGACAGCTCGCAATTTGGTTCAAGGCTACCGGTCGTCGCCGGCTCTGCGGAACTAATCTCGCGTTGCGTTGCGTAGCGTGCCGTAGCCTGCCACGACCGCTACAACACCGTTCACCGAGACTTGCTGAATGGGAAGAGGAAGAACACGGGTACCGTGAAATCCGAGAGGAAACGAGGCGGAAAAACGGGTCGGAGTAATTGCCAGGAGGGTGAAAATGAGAAAAATCTTGTAACGGGGATGAAATTGAAAAATGAAACTAGTATTTACCGATAACGGCCCAAAACTCCGAATCGAATCCTAAATCTGGAATTTACCGAAACGACGTTCCTGAAGAATTGACCGAATTTCCACCTGGCGTAACGAAAGCGGAAGATAATTGAAAAATGAAACGCGACGAGTTATTATCGGTATTTATCGATAACGACCCAATACTCCGAACCTAATCCTAAATCGGATGCCTGGAATCTATCGAAACGACGTTCCTGAAGAATTGACCGAGTTTCCACGTGGCGTAACGAAAGCGGAAGTACCGTAAAGGGCGTACGTTCCGTAGAAGCTGGTTTCGAATCTGACGATTTCCGTTAACGGTAGAACCAGTTCTTAGGTCTGTTCCTTCGTTACCACCGACATCGTGCCTCTAATTACTATGTTCCCTGTTTTCCCCCTCGCCCTTCACCGCCTCGTCATCCCGATTCCCCCGGACAAGATACTTCTTTTACGTAATCGGCAACACGCGAACACGTTTTACCTGACTCAAGTACGCAGTGAGTCATAAACTTCCTTCTGAGAGGAGGTGCAGAAAAATCGAAACGATTCGTCGTCTCGACGTTGGAAAATCTTCTATTCGATCTTGCATTGCATTATACCTTGCGAGACGCGATCATGCCAGGTTTTATTAATGATTTAATAGAAAATGAATTTAGAATCTGAACGGGTTCGAATAATTTCTCGTTGCAGTAGAAATAGCCAGGTATGATCAGACGCGCGATAATTTCGATTATTTCAATATATTCATAAGCTTCGATTTACTATTCTTAGTTGTTTATTATACAGATTACGTATGAAGAACTGTAATAACGCTTAAACAAGTTCAACTAGCCGCAAGTATGACCGATGACGGAATCTCGATCGTAAAATCGCGAGGATGCAATTATCGGGCGGTGATGTTAATAGATTTTTTAAGGCAACATAGTTTACGAATCGTTTGTCAACGGAGATGGCAGCGGTTTACCGCACCTATAAATTATCGGAACACCGACAGTGAGGACAGATTTACAGATCGTAAGTCAGAGAGTCTTCGCTAGTCCGATGGAAGAAAAAATTGTACGGTTCCCATCCTACCCTTTAGGTAAAACGTAGTTTATTTTGTATCAGATCGTTCTCGTTTTCTCTGATAAATCAGTTGTTCGATGCTCACTGGTCGGGGTTGAATTTATAAAACTCGATCACTAGCTAGCTAGGCCTTGATAACGGATTTTAGTTTCACTTCGTATTCGATCTATCGTCCGAAATAGCCGAGTATCGGTGTACCAAGGCCACAGGAAATCATCTCAAAACAAATGCGCTTATTTATTCCCGCCTAACAATGCTTTGTTTTCACTGTCACAGATTTTTTTAACATTTCGTTACAACGTTATAGAAATAATATAGAATTATAGAAAGATATTTAGCTAAAATTAAAGAGTTTCATATATTGGAAGTGTAGTTTCGAAAGGAATATGAAGATAAAAATTAGGGCTCTCTCCATGGTCCGTCGTAGCCGATTTAAAACCATGTTGTTAGAGTAGTATCGAGATAATGAAAGTGTAAGGCGTTGAACAATTAGCAGCGATTCGTATGCGATTAATTTGAAGAAAGGAAGATAATTGATGTGTAACGAAGATAAGCGCTAAAAGAGCGGAAATCATCGTCGTTCATTAATAAAAGTATTTTCAATTCCCTTTCACTGGTTTATCCGTGGAATCTGGCCTGGCTTTTCCGCGACCGTACACAATACACCTTATACGAGCGAACGCAACTGCGTGCGACCGTAATGGATATTTTATTCCGTTTCCTGAATTATTACCTGTCAAATGAAAATTTCACCGACTGGAATTAGAAACGGTGCCCCGCGCCAATTTTACGCAAATTCCCTCGAACGCCCGTTGCCTTTTCAAACAATCGTTAAATACCCCAAGCCTTTATCTCTTATTAATTTACAGCAATATTAAACGACGAGAATGGAATGACGAAACGCTACTATAAAGAGCTACTCATCGAGGAAAAAAGAAATATTTTCACGTATCCTGGTTGAATTGAAATCATTGTATCTCCCAGGTTTCGTAGTATTTTTTTCCTTTTCGTCTGCAGAAATTGCTACGAGGAACATTCAATATGTAGATACATATTACCTTAATTGTTGGTCTTCTACGTCCTTGTGGCGCACCTGTATACACCTTTAAGCTACTTCAACGAACAAATGGCACGTTTTGTGGTCGTACTTTTATAAAAACGTCAATTTAACACGCGTCTCGTTGAATTAGAATGCACGTGGATACAAGACAGAGAAACAGAAACAGAATCCAACGATCTTTTCTTCGGTTAAAAGTCGAATTATTGAAAATATGGATATGGATTCATTAGGACCAAAGACGGGTCTAGAGTTAATTGCCTAAGGGTAAACGCTGTCTTGTTTCTTTGTATTTTAATTTATTTTTTCTTTCAGAAAAGCCAGAAAATAAAAGTCACGAAACAACGATCAACCAGAAGACATTTTTGCGTTAACTAAGTTGAACTGGTTTCGAAACTAGTAAACGACACCGGGAATAAGGTCGTTAAAAGGTAGAGATAGCAGCAGGTACACGTGAAAATATGAAATTCTCGGCAATTGTTTCAGCGATAACGTACACGTGTACCTTTACAGACACGAAGAAATTCAACTCGTTCTCTTTCTGTTTGCGTTTGAAATATATTCCACGAATACAAGTAGATTTTGTAGAATTTTCGAACGTTTCTTCATTCGCGATTTCAATGTTTTCAGTCTATTTGTATTTCCTGCTGGAATACACGTAACATCGACGCGTAAAAATAGGAATAGTTTCCCTGTTCCCTGTGTAATCATTGTAAGCTGTGTCGGTAATTAGAGAAGAGCGCACTAATTGGAGCGTGCTCGAAAAGAGAAAGCATTTTAAGGAACACACTCGGTCGCGGTTTACTTCCGGCAGTTCGAGAATCCCGCGAGATCCACCTTTCCTTCGTTCGCAAACTTTTGCGCGGATATTACGTAAATTCTTCGACACGTCTTTTCCCGCGAATTCGACCGGTGAAAATCGTCTACGTGTTCCTTCGATTCCAGTTTTCGAGCTTCCTCCTTTTCTCTTCTACGATTGAAAATCTTGCGCCACTGTGTTTAGTGGGTCAAAATCTCATCGAATTTTTTTGCCTCTAGATCTCGTTTTTTCTACATTTCTGCACTATTCCCCATCGAATAGATTGCGACTATTTATGCAAATACATTGTTTTTCTATATTTAACTAATAATTCAGCTATCGCATACTTTTTGCACGCTCTAGTAAACGCATAAACATCCAGAGAGTCTAGCGACAAACCTCTTTCATTATTTTTTTCCAACTGAATAGGAAAAAAAAGGAACAGGTAGGACGAGAGGAGAGGAACAGAGAGGAGCTGGTGTATCTGTGCAGTGGCGGATATCGCGAAACGCAACCAGCCACGAACACGTCCTTGGCCGCTCCTCTGATAGCCTCCAGACCTCCTGGCAATCGTTTCCTGTCGCTTCGATGCACACCACCGATACTCTCCCTCGGGAACCTTGTTATATACTGTTACACCCACGCGAAGGAGA